GTGAGAGACATGAAATAATTGAAAATCAACATATCATGTGATGAAATGAGACTTTTCATATGATGAGACTCAGTCAGATCATTTCTATAGATGTGGATCACGAATATGAAATATTAAGAATTGAAATAAATGATAAATAGAAGATTTAATCATTCTTTTTGAGAAATTATTGCATATTTAGTTTCTTTCAATATTTCAATCATTTAATTAGGATTGTATATTAAATTTATTCATGAAAATAAAAATATGATTTTATATAATATTATATTAAATATAATTTTTAATTTTTTCATTTCAAAATTAAACAATTAAGTAAACCTCTAGTTACTACTATAGGCCTCTGCACATAGGTGAGATCAAATGCATACGTGATTGCTGCTTCAAATGCCTATTGTATTCATGTAAATTATCTTCACATGCATATTGTATTCATTTTGTTGAGTGAAATTTACATGAATGAACTTTAAATTCTCAAAGGAAAAATCAATCCTCAAATTTGAAAAAGCTAATAGGCTTTTACATCTTTTCAAGTTCGAGGGAGTGAAATTGCATTGGGTGTTTATGTGGCCAATCAATCCTAGTGGGCCCACGCCAACCTTTAATAACCTGGTTATTGCAATTTGCAAACAAGGAATCGAATAAAGTAGCTAAGGAGGCCCAGAAGATAAAGCCTACTGAAGCCACAGGCACACAAGGAGTGGGTGTTGGTGGCTACTGAAATGGGCTTTATGTTGCCATTTGGTCTTTTCAGTTCATGGGCCCATTTCTTTACACATGCAGTTACGTGGAGATAGTAGCTTTATGCCATCCCAACCTACCGGCAAACATTATAGTATACAACTTCCCCTCTCCATTTTAGTATCAGCTGGTCAAAAAATAATCTCTCTCTCACACACACACATGATAGTTTAATTAAACAAATCAAAGTTCAAATGCATAAATTTTTATCAAGCATTTCATCTTGTTTACATGTGAATGTATTTTACCTACTTGGCTGAGATGGCAATCAAAGGTGATCTCCTCTAACTTGTATTAGTTGTTAATTAGATACTAATTAAGAGACTTGATTTGGCAGATTTCACCTAATCCTTAACAAAACTAAGTCAAAAGAAAATAATGTAATTGGACACGCTTAATACCCGCTACAAAATTGCAGTTTTGCACCGCGTGTCCATGCTTCAAAACACAATTAAGCTCGGATTAGGTGAATGAAGCCGAAAATTGGACCAATGATGGAAAAAGTTAGAGGAAAGAAGATAATATTAATTCCCATTCCCCTCTTAGGTAGAGACAGTATTGGCAGTATTATCTTATACACATTTCGCTGATAAAAATCTGATCATATGGATAAGAAGTAAGAAATTTAAAAGTGTATTGAAAATTTATAAAGTGAAAACAATGTGAGATGATGCCAAAACATTGACACTTTTTGAAAGATTAATTGTCAAGGGTGTATTAATATGGATTAGGCAGGTTCAATGGCATTATAATAAATATTAAACGTGTGAGATTGGATAATTTGCTTTCTATGGCAAAGGACAAGAACACCAGTTCTTTGCTGCCCTTTCTTGTCTTCCTATCCTAAAAATAACAAGTGAGTTTTTGATTGAACAGCTTGAAAAGTTGCAATGACAACTCTCTCTCTGACCAAGCCCACTTATATACCAAAGTAGATAAGAACTCTACTATATGTACTCATGTGTTTGAAACACCTATATGCATACATATATAGATTCATAATTTGATAGCTTGGGAATCCTTTCTTTTTCTCTGTTTTTGTCCCTCAGCTCTTGTTGATCTAGGGGGTCCCCTCCCTAGTAAACAATCTGTAGTAGTTTGTACTTTGCACACAACTTATTGGTGCACTGTCATATATCTCCCTACCTATGTTCCCTTTCTTCCTATAATGATTAGTAGGGATACAAGTACAATTTCTATATAAATATCAATGCCATTCTGCATATATATATATATATGGGGGAGAAACATGATTCCCAGCAACATAGTCCCAACTAATTACGGCTCAACTTTTATTCAAATTCTGATTTGCGAACATGTTGAGTTGTGATTGGTGAGATCATGTAATCCCGGACTATATATGTAATAATTTCTCATATATAGGGGTATATAGGTGCATACATTGAATGAATTAACATACAGAAGTTCAAATTTAATATGATCCATCTGACAAAGTGAACTTATAACAACAGTTACCAGCAACCAAAATTGAATAAATGACAACCTAACTTTTGACACATTATAGTCTATACAAAATGACTTGTATTTAGACTCTGAACCTGCATCCTTGAATCCACATCCTCAAGATTGTCAATCCAAGATTTTGTCATTATAAGTCATATAATTGATATGATGTTGGCTTAAGAGAATGTATAGCTTTCACTTTTTAGCTGGCATTGGCACCAAAAAAAACTGACTAGAGAATTAGATACCTTTAAATAGTCTGCCAATTGTGTCTGGTTTTGTTGCTTTAGTGGGACGAATTATCCAAATCCAACACCTAAATTAATTTGATTTTAATTAAAAAGTTTTTAATTTGTTAAGAGGAGTGGCTTTAAGGAATATAGAGCTTATAACTGATTTCTATTTAAACAGTATACTTGACCAGAAAAATTACATATTTTTTAATTTCTTTTTTTCAAACTTTTCCTATCTCATTATACATTATTTGTTAGTCATATTTTTATGCCATTCCACTGGTAAATGAAGCATAATTGGGATAACAAAAGAAGGGTATCAATGTAGCTAAATTAAAATTTCTTAGTAGCATCAGATTCTCCTATACCACTAATTGGAAGGTTTTGTGATTAAAAAGGCAGAAAGATTTAACGAATCTTAGATAATCTTCTTTGAATCATATGATATTTTCTTCAATTTTTGTTACAACTTTCGTCAGATTGTGATTTGACAGCAAACAGCTTTAGAATATGCTATATATTCATTCTCTATTCTTCTTCCACTTTCCAAGCCAAAAAAAAAAAAAAATGAAGTTGTATTCAGGAAAATAGTGATGGTATAAACTCTCTCCTTCTTCAAAAGGGAGATGAGTGTTCGAGCCCTTAGGAGCAAAATAAGAGTGGTAATTTGTGTTAGCGGGTCATGTTCGGATCGTGTCAGAGAATGAATGTTTTGTCATATGAGTTGGCACAAATACGACACAATTATTATTTACGTCAAGAAATCCTAACACGAACACGAAACAACATGACACATTTAAGTAATTTCTAACACAATACGATATGTTTATTCAAAACATTTAGTTAAAAGGGTCATTTTTAACACAAACACGACACGTTTATATGATATGTTAAGTTAAACAGATTAATCGGATTATAAATAGATTCGCAGGAAAAACACAAATATGGCACGTTTAATTATCGTATCAATTCAGATCGACATATTATGATACTAATACGATTAAGTCAAGCAAGAACACGACACGTTTAATTTCGTCTTAATTCTGGTTGACACGTTTAATTAACGTCTTAATTCTGGTTGACGTGATTACGATATAAACACGATAAAGTCAAACTCAACCCCACTTATTCCTTGTCGTGTTCGAATCGTGTTAGCATAGCGTGTCAAATATTGCTACTCACATAAGAAATACGCTAGAGGAGTGTGTGCCAAACACACCTAGTGGATGGATTCTTGTTTCATAGAAGTCCCACCTAATGGATAACAGGAACAGGATAAGGGCAAGTTGGTGCATTATAGTGTGAAACCCTAAGCGTAGAATATGCATTCCTTCACAAAAAGCTTCGTCTCCTGGTACCCACCGCTAAGAAGCCCATCAGAACATGCCCAACTGTTTTTCTCTTTACTCCTTTCAAGCACATTGGAACTTAAAAGATAAACAAAAACGAAGACTCAAACAAAAAATAAAGCGCAGTGTTTGGCATATTCTTTGAAATAACATAATTGCAAATCAAAAGTAGAGTTTGAGTTCGAGAAAATTAGTTCAAAAACCCCAATTGTCATCGAGTCATTGATAGTGGAATAGATCATGATTGCTCCAAAAATAAAAATAAAGGATTGAGCAGAAAAAATGCAGACTACTACACTAAGAATCTGATCTCTAATTTAAAAAAAAAAGAAAAAAAGAAAAAAAGAAAGTAAAAATGACTTTTCCTAATTGAGTGATTAAGGAGAGAGTGAAAGTAAAGTAAATGTGGCGCGGAACATTATTATTGCATAATTTATAATTAGTGACACCATCCACCAGAAAACTCTGTTTCTTTGAATTTAATCTTAGCATTGCCATGGGAGAGGATTTTGTGTGACAGATATAGATTTGTCAATCCTTTCAATATGATGAGTCCATAAAAAGAGTCAAGATTGTTATTTGTTAATGATGTAAAAGCTACCAGAGGGCAATCAGAGTTTTAGTTGTTTACTTTTACTCGTTATAGCTTGGGGTTGCAATTATTAGTCTTTTCTGTAGCCCACTTTCTTTTGGGTTGTTGTTGCTAGCCATTACTAACTCTATTCAAAACGGCCTGCAAAATCTAAGGATTTACAGAGCAAATTTCAATAGAGACACTACTAAAATTTACATGTCAAACCATTTCGTTATTTTAGTTCCAATTTAGAATCCCTATATCAAAATCCAATTGTTTAATGAACACTAATCTCTATTCTGTAGACTCTTAACAATAATATTATGAACTGTGTTATATTTTAAATAAATCGAGCTGTTTTTTAAATCTTAGATTCAAAATTACTAGCATTTTACTAATTAAGTAAACATATTTGATATAATTGTTTTGTAATTTTAAAAAGTTTCTTGAACATATCTCTTGATAAAAATAAGTGAATCATAATTAAATAAATTATATAGCAGCAGTCAAATTAGCTCACAAATACAAATTTTTTGATTCAATATAAACCCAAATTTAAGCCAAACTCATACATTAACAAATCGAACACAAACATACTCAAACTCAATTCGAATCTGTCACTTATTTCCGACACTAAAAAAAGTGAAAAGGATATATTAAAGAGAAATGGAAATTATGGTGCAACAAAAGAGAGTAAGGCTAATTTTTTATATAAAAAAATAATAATAATAAATAAATAAAACTAAAAGAGTGGAGGCTTGTTTTCATGTATGTCATTAGTCTGCGTCACATATATATATCGGCATACATTCCATATCTTTTTCTTCCACTATAAAGACAAAATAAAGAAAAAAAAAAAAAAAATGGAACATATCCCCCCAACCCTAATGCACACATGTATCAAAATATGCTACCAATTACGAAACCAATCTTTTTACACAAATTTCCGAATCTTTTATCCACCTGTTTCAAGAACTTACCGACGTTCCTGATTAAATTCTCTCACCAATTGATACTGGATAAACGGCCCAGATCTTGAGATTACTAGTGTACAATGTGCTGAGCAGAATTCGAAAGAGAAAAGGGAAAATTTAAAATACATAAATAAATTTTTTTTTTTTTGAATGGAAGTCAGGAATGGTTGTGAAGAACAATGGCCATTTTTTCCTCTTGACGGAACCTCACTTGTTTAGCAATGAATTCTTCTATCGTGCGCTGAAACTCCTCGTTACTCAGTTTGTCGACCGTCTCCGCCGGAATCTCGCCGGAACTCTCAAGCTTCCTGCATTTCTCGGTCTCCGAACGCCGGAATTTTCCGCAAGGCTTCTCCGAATTCTCTCTCTTCAAGTTCTCCGACTGACTCCTCCTATAAGCTTTCGATTCCGAAATCGTATCAGTGGCCTTTGTTAATCCATTGGCATCAGAGTTTGGAGTAATTACGGTGTTGGCCTCGCATATGATCTGTTTGTCCTGGTACACAATCTCCTCTGGTTCTGTCACCGGAGTAAAATTTTCTGATCGGAAGTTGATGCGATTCTCGCTGTTTCTGATGAATTCATCGTAGAGATCCGTTTCCGAGTGTTCGGAGATCGGAGTTTTGGCGGAGAATCGGCTGGATTTGGCGATGAGAGTGATGACGATCATGTTGCCGAGTACGAAGATGAAAGTAGGGCTAACGATGATAGCAATGAGCTGCCGGAAGTACTCGCCGGAGATTCTGACGGCGAAAGGAAGACGAGCGGAAGTCCAGGAGAGAAAAACGAGAGCAATGCATAGCTCAACGAATCGAAACAATTTTGCAATTTCTCGGAGGCGACGATACCTTAGCATGGCGTTAGCCTTCTCCACCTTCAAGTTATCGAAGTGGAAACCGTCCATTTGCATATATATATATATATATATGGAAGTTAGAGAGGGAGCTTGAAATTTTGAGGAGGAAGGAAAGAGCGCAAAAACTGGAGAGAGAAAGACAGTAGTAGTATGTGTAATGTGTGTGTGGGCTTTCTTTCTCTCTATCTGTTGGTTCTAATTTGGGGCTAGTTGTTTGGAATTGGAATAGAAGAACATTTACTACAATGTTCAGCTCTAGGACTAGAAGTGAACCCTTTCAGTAGACAGCTCTTGGCTTTATACAGAAACCAAATTTCATTTTCTTTTTAATTTCAACGCAGCTAATAGTAATATAGTTTTGCGTATCCAAGTGGGATTAATCAAATGGACCTGGTCTACAATCATGGTGGGACATGGGGGTGTTGAGGATTTTCACTTTGGGGCTTAATCTTTGGAAGGATGGTAGGCTACACAACCTCGATTCAGATTTGAGTGGATGGAATAGGTACGGTGAGTTGGACATATTATGTTATTTGTATGCTACGTCAATAAAAATATAATAAATTATTTTATGAATAACAATTTTATTTAAATGTTAGAACTCATTTTATTATAAGGTAAATTTTTATTAGCATAACATATCAATAACATGGCATGTCCAGATTCACTCAATATCTTATATCTTTTAAAGTCGATGATGGTACAAAACCATGTAAAATAATATCCTGGGAAGTATCTAAGTCTATAGAAGCACCATTCTAATAAGAGCTCCGATCCTCTAGACCTCTGCCATGCAAGTGTTACTCTGTTTTGTTTATCCTTTTCTTTTTAGGTAATGGTGGTGGTGGTGGTGGTTGTTTATTTGAATTAAGGGAGGCAGAATGATGATGTCCGGGGAGATACCAACAATGAAGGGTGTGTTTTGTGGATTTCTCAAACTTGGACTTAAAAGTGGTCTCACTTGTAATGGTGTTGTTGAACATAAGAACAAGATTGATCGTTCCCATCAAATAGATTTAAGTTGATTGTCTTTGGCCTCAGGAGGACTCAACAAAAGTTGATAAAAAAACAGGTAGTGAGCTTGGCAGCTTTGCCATATTCATTGTTGTCTTTGGAATCTCATGTGTTGTTGACTGAAAGAGTGAAAGGGGGTATGCTTCCACTTAATGCTCCATTTGATGAAACCACTATTCATCAAAATCTTGTCGAGCAATAGCTCCTCACCCAATTATGAAAAATAACTGTGCATAAATAGTGGTCTAATAAGCCCTAACAATGAAAAGAAAGCCCTACCAAGCCAGTTGGTTTGTACTTTGTACAAAGATGGAGCACCAAAGTAACCTCTTGAATTAAAACATGGAACATTAATTTTAGATGTTTTAAATTTAGTTTTAAATATATTTTCCAAAATTTTTGGCATTAATTTCACAAAATCTCTTGCTTGAGCAATTCCTTACCTTTATCATTATAAATTTTTTACATTTAACATTAAAACTCAATTGTAAAATTAAAATTGTTGGGTTAACTAAATTGATGATCGTAAGCACCACACGAGAATCTTATATCATTCAAAAAGCATGTGTGGCGTGTGATGTTGGACACACATGGCCTGCACAAACTACGGTGTATCTGCTTCACCTGTGACCGTAACTCCGTATTACTCCGTTGTAGCACGCTTTGTGTGTGCTACTCTCTCTTCACGTGGCCCTCAAACTCACGTTACGCTTGCTAATACTCAAAGAAAGTCTCTCTCTCTCTCTCTCTGTCTCTGAAGGAGTTTGCCTAACAAAGGTGGTCACGTCTGCATAAGAATTTGAACCATGTATAATATTAAATTAAAAATTGATGGTAAGAGGGCTATTCATAAATTAGAAAGAAAAAAATAGACTCCAGGTGTTTCCTGTTTACATTTTCAGCCATATTGGAAATGTATTTTTTTTTAAAATTTGTGCTTGATGTTGGTTCACTTTTATTCAAATCGAGGCCGTGTCTGGAATTAATGGGCTTGGGCTTATTGATTCAAAATAAAAGTGATTTGATTATTTCTGAATATGTGAGAGTGGGATGGACTCTTTCAAAATTTCTTGGGCTAGCAAATTAAATTTTAAAGGCTGAAAAAAGTCTAATCCAATGGACGTTGTTAGACCTTCTTCAAAAGTTTATGGGAGTCTTGTTCACCTTGACCGGTTTATAAAAGAACCGAACTCAAACACAAGCACAGTTCGATTTATTTACAACCTTTCTTTAATTAAAAATATATATATATATTCTCAATTTTTAATTAGCACTTAAACTCTTAAAATTCAGTTCTTAAACCTTATTGGTGTTTAAATTTCAATTTTATTATTCAATTTATCAAACCAATAAGGAAAGAAGGACAAAAGAAATCCCACGCATTTCCTCAAAGCGAAGGCAAAGCTCAGCCCACAAGCCTTAGGAAGTTGGGTTATTGGGCCGAGTCATTTGACTTTTGGGCCTAAATTAGGCTTTTAAATATTGAGTTTCCATTCGCTTTATTCGCACCGCCTTCAAAATCTCTTGCAGTTGGACTACCAATTAACTCTTCAAATTATTACTAGTACTACTTAAAATGGATTAAGTGTATATATACATATTACATATATGAAGAATAGGAGGGAAATGATGAAACTTGAGAGTGAATCAAAAGCTTGTAGAAAAACAGATTGCGAATATCAATTGCTTAGGTATCTAAGTGCAGTGTGTGTATACAATAAAAATGGGCATGATGGGCATATCTAAATGGTTGACATTTTAGTTAGTTCCACTCATTCACTTTAGGAGATTCATTTTAGTTTTACAATTGTAGTTTATTTAGATTACTATTTATAGAAAAATGTAACAAACATGTTCATTCTTTCACCCTTAATTGCATTTTGGACAAAGAATACTTTTTACTCATGCAAATATAAGCAGTGCCAAAGAAACAAGGATTATTGGATCACACGGCCACGAAATTTGATATTTTGTTCACTTCATAAGAAAATAAGTTGAGAATCTCAAAAGATATGTGATTGTTAAATATGAATGCCCCAAGTGGACCAATCTATTATTATTATTTTTGTGTTAATTTAAGAAAAAATTCTATCCTGTTGAAGAATAAAAATTAAAATAAAAATAAATTAATAAGAAATGACAAATATAATGATAAATGATGAAACTACTAGTATTTTATGATCAGGTTGTCAATAAATTAATAATTAATAAAAGAATTGCAAAAGGACAATAGTTTTTTTTCAGTACCATCATATTGCGGAATTCTTCATTAATTCTATAGAATCAAAATCAAAGTTAATATAAAGCTAGTTTTCACTTCCCTCACTTGCATAGCAGCACTAACCTGTTGCAATTTACACTTTTTATTTCTAATTTGTTCCGCTCACTCAAAAACTTATCACAATCACCCTCCCTAGTTACAAATGAAACCTATATATAGACATCCTCCCCTTGATATACCCTGCACATAAACATCCTATACATTTACAAACTCTAAATAACATCTTAATTTTCTTAACGAACTTAGATTCTACAAATCTCTACCACATCTTTAATGTTTTAGAATCTTTCAACTCTCTCTCCAATACTCACAATCTCCTTGCAAATTAATGTAGAAGATTCTAGAATTTAATATATGCATTCTCCCCCACCCATTTTCTTTGACTCCCTTGTCGCAGTCTCTCCTGCAAACTAGTCAACAAAACTCCTTTCATTGGACGAGACACTCTTGTCGCCATGCCTCCGTTCATAATTTATTTACTTTTACTTTTTTTAGCAAAGCAAGCAAACAAGATTTCATTGATAGCAGAACTTGCAAGATTTCATTGATACCAAAACATCGGTTACAAAATCTCAGATAGCTCCATTATATAATGAAGAGTTCTGATGCCTAACTTCTAGTAGGCATTATACATACATACGTACATCTGTGTGTGTGTTATGGGAGTTACACAAGTGCACCGCCTTTCAGATACTCAGTAAACGCCAATGCAACCAACCCTAACATTGCAAACCTTCCATTCCAAAGCTCGGCATCTGACGTCATTATCCCGTTATTTGCAATTGATTTGATGTTCACTCCTTTAAATAGTGGTATTAGGGATGCTACTGAGAGCACAGCACTAGTTCCTAAAAACCATGGGATCCCACCATTTGATATCTGAGAAATCAAATCCTGACCGCTAGATAGCTCCACCGCCATTGCCGCCACAAAGCCAATCATCGCCAGTCTCCCATTGATTCTCTCCGGAGCTGGCCCGCTGAAGGCCAACACATCGGAAAAGTTTGTGCTGACCTGTCATGCATGGTCCACATGGATCAAAACATGCTTGCATACATGCTAATATGCTATCTGGTATTTACTATTAATACATATTCGTATCATATTAACAACTGCTCAAGTTATTAGTGATTACTATTGGTAATTAAAATGGACGACATGTAGAAATGTATATATACATATATCACTAAACCTTGATCAACGGCTTACCTTTCGTTCACTCTGGGCAGGAGTTTGCCGAGGTAGTGGTGATGAAGATGATTCTTTTATGGGTGTTGATTCCTCCCCTTTACCTTCCTGTTGAAGTCATAGAATTTTTTTCCTTCGTTAGAAGAATATGTTGTCTCCATTATATATATATATATATATATATATATATATGGTTTAAAATAAAATAAAAAATTAAACAAGTGTCATTGTTCTATGGTAGTAAAAATGGCAAAAAAAATTACATTGTTGGAACTACATACTCTTGGCCAATTATATGTGCCCATGTATACGATTGTGTCTTATCTTTTTGCATTTTCTATCTACGTGGCCACTTGTGATTGGCTGTATAATGTAATACGCGATAAAAGATGATTTATCATCGACATGTTGTTTAAAATAAGTTAAAATGTGAAACCAACCTTGGACATGCATCGCACTCGCATGCAACTGTTCTTATGCGGACGTGGCACATAGCTGGAAGGACTAATCTGACTTAACCTTGATTCATTTGTGATCGGCCTCACGAAGACGGACTGCATAACAGTTGACATGGCCATCAAGAAATTATGCAGAGACTAGAAAAATGTGGAAAGTTGAGACTGACGTTGAAGAATCAGAAACTTGTAAAAAGAACAGCTTGTGAATATATGAGTTGTTGAGGTATCTAAGTGCAGTGTGTGTGGTATATATAGGCCCACTAGGCCATGAAGGGCACATCGAAATGGTGGATATTTGAGTTCCACGCGTACGAGATTCAAAGCGGTGGATATTTGAGTTCCACGTATGCACTCTGGACAATTCAGAGATATTTGTCTACACATGATGGGTTAGGAGACGTGGCCTACACATCAACCTTGGCATCTTGTTGGTGATTATGTGGCTAGTATTGTTCTAGGTTAAATTTTTTTTTGGTGACTGGAAGTTTCTAGTCTTTTCTCATATAATGACGCGCTTTAAACCATCAGAACTTTATGCAAAACAGCTCACACCCTTTCACTTTTGTTGACGAAAGGCCAAATTGGCTGTCCCCCACCAGTGTACCCTTTTTTTGTATTTCAGCAAAGAGCGTCAAGAGTTTAAATAACGGTCCATGAGCGAACAACCCTACAATTCGACAGAATTAGGTACATCTTACATGCCTGATCGACCAATGCATGACACGTAAGTAAAAAATTAAATAAAACTAAAACATTTGTTTTGATGCCCTAACCCGGAAGTAATAATGAACCATTTAATAATACTGAACCATTTAATAATTTCCCAAAGAGAGGACCATATTGCAGTGCTTTAAACAGATTCAGCACAACAAGCATTTTTTTGGAAGCCAAAAAAAAAAAAAAAGCTCTCTAGTATATTCTAGTATATTCTATATTGAATTAAGTCCACAGCCAAATAAGTATGATCTCTCATTTTCAAAGGGAAGAAGTTTTAAAAGGAAAATTGTGAGTGAGTGCAAGTTTGTAAATAAAAGGAAAAAATAAATACATAAAATAAAATAAAGCCAACAAATTTAATAGGAATGTGAAGCCCTACAAGTAGCAAAGTGAGAAAAATAAAATAAAATAAGGTGTTCAGCATGGATGGTAAAAATACAATATTTCTTCAGATAAAAAATAAAATAAATGTGTATACCAGAGTTTGCCTTGATATTATTCTTGCACAAAACGGCTGCTCATGGACTCTAACCCAAATCTACCATTGCACTCAAGCAATGACTCATAACTGAGAAAGTAAAACAGTATTTGAAAATTTTGAGTTGAATGTATCGCCAGTCTGGTTCTACATGCTGAGAAGATCAAATATTCGAAGCATCAATACGAGCAGAATGGCTCTCCACAAGGAGTTTGATCAATGGACTCTCCACGTCAGCACCGGCCTCTCGTTGAATTGAAATCTTTCCACTACTACTGACAACCACCACCACCTCCATGCGGGTTGAAAGTTCATTTGCTACTACTGCATCCATCCCATACTTTTTAAGGGCCATATCAGCCTTCTCTAAAAGAATCATTGGATCTGTTTCTAACTGTAAAGCCATGGTCTTAAAGTCAGTCTTGGTTAGAATATAAATGAATTCTATTATATTTAAGTAAACAAATCAAGTAATAGGTGAATTTTCGATAACAGATGTTATATACTTATATCTTGAACAAATGTTCGATTTAGTGGAATGTTAAGAAAGACCTTTCTGGATATTAGTAATTGCATCACCAAAAGGAGGAGCACATATAGGTCCACCATTTTCTGTAAAGGCAGGCATGATGAGAAAACTGCAGTGTCTTCATCATTCTTTTCCTCATTCAAGGTTTTGCCCAAACAACGAAAAAATGGGAGTCTTGAAATAAATCCTAACCTAAATATTTCAAAAAATGAAACACTTGTGGATGAGGAAAAGAATAAATCTTCTCTCACAAAAACTCTTCATAAGCGTTTCATTTTCGAAGGTTAATTTCTAAATTCATTATTTTTTTCCAGGAAAGAAGTTGTATTTCATTTTCTTAAATGTATTGGCAAATATGAGAGGACAGATAACTTAAATATCATCAAAACATAATTAATTTATGTTGATTTTATTTTTCTTTCTTTGCTTTTGTTCTTGTGGATACAGCAACAGTAACATCCATGACTTTTTACTGATATGGTAATGTTTAAGTCACTATAAGAGGATCTAATCAGCAGTGACAGAATATCTAACCTTGAATGAAACGCAGAAGGCTGTAGGAGCCCACTCTTTTCTCAGCACTGAAAGCATCTTTGGAACTTGGACAAGTCGCATATCCAAAGGACCAGATCCCGACTGAATTTTATGTTCTGCCTGTACCATTAATTCAATATTATGTAAGATAACAGCGAATAAGAGATAAAAGGCCAATTCAAGTGACTAAAATACACTTATAGTTTCATGAATAACTATAATATGTGGCCAACCATGTAGGTCAGTGTCACTAAAGCTAACTAGAAGAAAACCATAGCTAGTTTATGTTTCCTAGGAGTGAATGCCTATGATGCAGTAAGAGAAGACAAAAACCCCAAACACAGCTAAATTTCAGTTGAATGACATTTAGTACTGCAATATCTTAAAACAGTTCTTGCAATATGGATTGCTTCATTGTTGTTATTGCTGAAAAACACCCATATTAGAAAAATAGAAAGATTATACAAATAGAAAGAATATCATTTCTAATAGTTAACCAGAAAAAATAGACATATTCCAACCAAAGAAAATAGCAATTTCCTTTTTCTCAACAATCGATATTTTTCTGTTTATACTTGGTAGTGGAAGGAAAAATAGACATTCTCCAACCAAAGAAAATAGCAATTTCCTTTTTCTCAACAATCAATATTCTTCTGTTTATGCTTGGTAGTGGAAGAGTTATGTAACCATTTTCTGGAATTACCTCTATTGTCAAAGGGGTGAAATAGCTTAAACTATTTTCTCAAAGCATCATCCAACAATGAGAATGCAAAAACACAATAACCACCACCACACAAGTATCAACCTTCCTCTCCTCCAAAAGCCAGAGAAAAAGAGGATTTTTCGAATCTACTTATTCAAAATACCCAATAAAGCCTGAACTACAGAAGTAAAAACTGAAAAACAAAATATTTATAATGGATTAACCCACCATGCTTTCCCATGGAACATAAAAGTCAGACACAGCAGCCGCAAGATAAAACATTGCAAATGGCCCAAGATGACTCAATGATATTGCAATCAACTGTAAAATCTGATCATGAAACAGAGATGAAACAGTTAATATACAAAATCTAATTTCTTCTGAACTGCTAGCTTTTCAAGATTTTTCTATCAAATTTAGTAAAGCAAATAAGAAACGATAAGTTAATAGAACTGACAAAGGCTGCAATAAATAATAATAATAATATATAAATAAAATGAAGCCAAACTACCCAACGTAATAAAAGTAAAAAAGAGAAAAAGTGAAAAATCTATGCCAGATTACCAAAAAATTGTACAAGCTACATAGACACAACCAAGTAGCAGATTGGAGGAAGTAACAGCAAGCAAAGTTCGATGCAACTAAATGTGATAAATAGAACTTCACTTTAAGCATTTTCAATGCAAAGACTTTTTCAAACTAGAAAACTAAACTAAACACAAAGGAGATATATCATTACATAACGAGACTTTTTTTTTTTTTTTTTATAAGCATTAAATAATGAGACTCCTTGTTCAAGCAAATTCTTATTTGCACCATAGTAACAGATTAGCAAGGTTAATTTCATTAAAATGTTCCTGAAATAAAGTTCTCAAGCATTCTTAGTTAATAGCTTGTAGGAAGTTTACCTCAATATTACTCACCTGCTAGTAGTTACATAGTTAATAATCCTAGATACCTTTCAATTTAAATACACTTAATATTTGGTTACCCTCCAAAAAAGTTACCAAATTTCTTTCAAATATTTATCATGTTGAGTAGCATTTCTTATTTCTTAATCCTTTCCAGGTTTTCTTTCTCAACACTCCAGTATGATATCCTAATATGACTTGAAATACTAGGCACAGAAACTCCCCAAAGTTTAGGCATGTAACATGGTGACAGTTATATTCATGGGAAGTGTGATGTTACATATAATGAACTTCTACAAATCTTTTTTATACGAGTCTCTGGGAGTCTATGAAAGTACCATGACTGGTATAATACTGAATAAATTGATGACTATATAATTTTTTCAAGGATAGATAAAACACTTGTTTTTATGAACATTTTAGAAGTAGATAATAGTAGAACTTAATTCCTCAAAGTTGCCGTGTCAAGAAGCATTTGACATACGTTCATTGTAATAGAGAAGTATCCTACATATTTTATAGCATTTTTCCAAAATGCAAAATGAATGGATGATAGTTGTTAACATGCATATTAGCAAAGTATTATATGGATGATAGTTGTTATCACGCATATTAGCAAGTACTATATAAGCAGGAATCCTGTGCTTCAAAGGAAGACTGTATTGCATGGAACTACATAGCGGAATCTACAATAACGTAGTCTCCAATAATTAGCTAACATAATAGCTTCTTAAATGCATCAACGAATTCAAGTTGTGGCAACATAGTTGAGTAATTTCATCCACATGAACTCCTTGATGAGGTGGATAGACAATGTGATGCGTAATGTGTGCCAAAGAGTGGAAAATATACAAAAGAGCAGATCTTATTTACAGAAAAATAAGAAGAAAAAATAAAAGGCAAACCATGGATTTAGACGAGAAATCTTGAAAAATAGATTGCTATGCTGGTAGTTGGCACGTTAATGAGAATTCAGAAATCCTTATGATATGGTTAACTGAAGAGAACCTGAAGATACTCGAATATAGTTGTAAAGGGAATTTTCAACAAGATGCCTCTTGCAACAGCCTGCAGTAAATAAAATGTCACTGTGGCTCACTGTTACGATGAACTAACATCATATCAATGCATTGAAATTGTCCATACAGTATGATGTTCACTAATGGCCCTCCTCACTGCTTCAGAATATGACTGGCGCACTGAAATATGAAGGCAAGTTAATTTTGAGAAAAGCTTACAACTTTCACAGTTTGCATTAATAACCCATACAAAAATTGGCCGTATGTATCACGAGAGATGAAAAAATTAATCCAATAAAACGCTAGCGGAACAAAAACTTCAGTTCATTACTCCCTACCCAAAAAGAAAGATCGTGAGTTCGTGCATCGGTTTACTTGGGTAACTAAACCGATGAAGCTAAAGTGTAAAATAATTATGCACACACATTGTGTGTGCTTGGGTTATCTCATCTTTGGCTCTTCAGTAAATTTCTTAAATATTAGTGAAATTACTTAAGAAAATAAATGGTTAGAAGATGACCCAAGACCTCAAATTTTGTTAAAGGATGAGCCTCGTGGTTAGAAGTAATCAAATCAAGGTCTCTATCCAGGGTTTTTCCATGGACAAAGGTCTTTGTGTGAGGGTGGGTGGGTGGAGGTAGAAATAGTTAACCAATTTGCAATTTGTCATACTTTATCCAGATATACATATATTTTGACAAACAGAAGGGGAACTACAAACCTTTAATGTTCGACGACTCATCAGTGGACTCAAAACATTCAAGCAATGGATTATCCGGAAGAGATCTACAATTTGGCTGGCAGGTTCCCCTGCATAAACAAATAGCCCATATTATGAATTCTTTGAACAAATACACAAATGGACAACATAAAGATTTTCTTTTTGACAGGACAAGAAGCAGCTATGTGATAAGAACATAATATTTACCTTCGATACAGAAAGATAACAGAATATCCAGCATCCAGAAAATACCTGTGATTCCATTTCACTGTCAAGTCTATCTGATCAAACTAAGAACAAAGCATGGATATTTAATTAACAGTTACAAAATTAGGTGTGGTGGTGTTCACTCCGTGGATGCTGCTCCTCTATGACCCGAGCTAAAGTTATCTATGTAACGGACGCATCGTTGCTCCAAAGGAACTGTTGTCCCACCGGATGTCACGCATACAATCCTTCTACCTCTTCCATTTTCTGAAAATACATGAGAAAAACAATCCACCAAACCATGCCTCACTAAAAATGACAACAAATCGAAGAAAAAGTACGAAAGACAATGGAGCTAGAAACTTAAAAATCAATACAGCTGCCAAGAAGCGAAATTGCCTGATGATATAGAATTCCTTCCAATGAAGTCATTTAATTTTCTACTGATATCAAGACCGTCTCTAAGAGGAGGAGCTGAGTCAAAGAAGGACTTGACCTCTGCACATAGTGTTTCTTGTAGAGCTCCTGAGTTCTCCATGGAAATGCCTGCAGTTATGTCCAAATAAAAAATCCACAATATAAGAGTGAGAATAGATTAAAATATTTGGGATTGTAATTAAATCCGGCCATCAATGACAATGATATAAGATAATATACACGAATAAACAGATTTAGTATCATAAGAATCCTCCCCATACTCTGTGTACTCAAAAATTTTAATCCATTACGGATAGTTGTCAGTTGATCTATAAAAAAACAATAAGGATAATCGTCTCAGGCTCTGAAAAATGACATGAAGCGTCGAACTTAATAAATTTCATGATTGTGAATAGTCAAAGTTATTAAAGGTGCATGTTGTTCAGACATGCAATAAATAATATAAATTGTGAATTCGCAACAATGGAATAAGAAGATAATGAATTTTTAGATATCTAGTATATAGCATTTCACAATAATTAAGAGTCATTAATTCGAAACATAGCATATCAATAAACCAAATGCACATAATCTGAATTTCACATATCATAAATTTTCATCTAAATATAAATATTGAGCAACTGTAAAACAATTCCATATATCAATGTCAAAGATAAATTATATATGAGTATACATGTAAAGAGCTTATAATATTGTCAAACATGCAGGGTTGTCAAAATATTCATCAAAATATTCCAGCATGGTTCAAGGAAAAATGTAGAAGGAAGTCAAGTACAGCTTGAAAAGCACAGCAAGAATGATACAGGAAAATAAAGCAAGATAATACTGGAAAATACAGCGAGCCTGAACTAAGGGAAAAAAAAAATACAGCGAGCCTGACCCACAGCAAGATGCAACAAAAAAATATATATATATATATAGCAAGCATGGCTGATTGATCAGCGTAATATAGAGGGAGATGGGAATGATACCAACATCTCTTACAGCAAAAAGTTGCAATTGAGAGGATAGAATTTTATAAATTTGCAGACGTGGAGGCAACCCATGTTAACAAAACGTGTTCACGTGGCAGAAAATCATTGGTTATCTACACCCTACAGGGTGGGATAAAGAGACTACAGTAGTCGCCTCCATGAACAGAAATTCCAACCCTTGCGGAGACAACCATTGCAGTATCAGAACTCTAACCTGAAGGGTAGCGCACACCATCCGACTTACAGCCGTCAATGATTGCCATCTTGTACCTGTTGGTTTCTTCATGTGATTATTATTTGGCTCTTCCATTTTTCTTACGCTCATTCCCCCCTTGGGATTGTTTCTGTACAGGAGTGGGTTGGTGCTGCTGTAAGAATTTTTCAGCACAATTAAATCTAGCCAGATTTAATGTGTCGAAAATAGATTTAATTGTATTGAGCGCACCTATAGCACAGTGCAGTACACTGCAGAGGATCCTGACTCGTGATTTGGCTGCCTTGTGTTTAGACAGGGATATTCAAGTGTAAGTTGGCTCCCGTGTGTTAAGACAGGGATATTCAAGTGCATGTGTCAATTCTAACACCGCCCATTTATCACTTGTGTCGCAAATATGGCTTGCCTATTACATAAAAAAAACATGACATGACATGTGTAACCAGTTTTTTGACTAATAGATCAGGCTGGGTTCTGTAACCAATAACTCATATAATTTGTAACACGGAGGAAAAAAAAAAAAAAAAAGTCAATTGCAACACAAATATATCAAAATCTAAATCAAACTCGCTAATTTCATGCTAGGTTTAAGTTGAATTGGCATGTTGGATCAAGTTTTGCCACGCCTCACTAGGATAAGCGGTATTATTGAACCAGACAAAGCAACAAGCAATGAAACCAAAAACAGCTAAAGCCGGGCTTTTTCCAACTGTTCAATGGCTCCTCCGCATTGCTGAGTGAATTATTTCAGCTCCACGCTTTCTTTCCTTTAAACCAAAATTCAAGCAAGTAGAGCACATTAGGGAAAAATTTACAGAACTTGCAGACAAATTTCAAAAAAAGATCCAAAACACAAAACACCACTCTCAATTTGTTTTGCATTTAGTTGTTCCAGTCAGAGCTTTAAAGAGAGAAAAAAAAAAATTGTACCACTAGGGGAAAAACAAACAAATAATCGTCAAGTGCATACCTTACAAGATTGCTGAGCTTTATTGTTGTCCGGTCACTCCTCAGTTACTCCAATGGGCAATGGCATACAAGATTTTATACTGGCAATTTGAACACAATATACAATTTTTATTGAGGTGTGATCATATGTATGGATATAATCTAGATGCATGCACGTACATTTCATGTGGGAGAAGCATTTTTAAACCCTAGGTTGCTTTTGAATACGTGGGGTTTGAGGGTTTTAGGAGAGGGTTCTGTTTTGGCATTTTGAATCGAGGTTTGGGTTCGTCAATATGGTTTTTCAATAAGTGTTTTCAACTGAGTAGGGTTATTTGAATAAGAGATTGATGGAGAGACAAATTGAAGATAAATTCAAACTTACCATTGATCGGTGAGAGCAAGATCAAATCAATAATATGAAACAAAATAATAATAATAATAATCATATTCTGTTTTTGTATTCTTGGAATGCTGTAAAAGACATATATATACATACACAAAGAAGGATGACGGAGGTTGGTGGTGGCTTACCTCAGTTTGCAGCGGAGAAAGATTGCGTCAATGGCTAAAGAGTGGAATCAAAGTCGTGGAATGATCAGCCAGACTCAGAGAAAGAGAGTATTTTTCGTTGGGGTTTGGGCCTGGTGAGCCTATTGGTTTCTTCTTTTACTCCAACTCAGAGTTTGGGCTAACCCGGCCCACTTTCAGCTTCATCATTTAAACATTACGTTCAACCTAACCAAATAATTATAAAAGATAATGTTTGGAGACAATTTTTGTCCTGTAAGCTGAGTTAGCTTAATAAGATGTTGACATCTCTTTTTAATATTAAAATATATAAAGAATGAGTTATACCCATTTACCTAGATCTAGACGCTGAATCAAAAAAGTAAAATGGAGATAATGCCAATGTGCAGAGTTTTTAGAATAGCAATGGATATGCTAAAAATGTAAGTTTGTTTTTTTTTTTTTTTTTTTCGTTTATGCATTACAATGATGTGATGTTCTTTCCTTGAAGGTTAAAATTTTACCCTTGTTTTGATTTGAAATTTTACCCTTGTTTTGATTTGAAACTTGACTGTTGTAAGCACTTGAAGCTCCCAAAGAATCTCGTCACCCTAAAGGGCAATGGAATCTTGTTCTAGAAGAGTTGGCTTGGTTGGCAAAGATTATTTTCTTTGAAGCCTTAAATTTGAATAACTAAATCCAAATGCTGGTTTGGGATGCCTCTTTTTTTTTTTTTCTTTCTTTTTTTTCACCAGAGGATGCCTTATTGACTTTGTACATTATTGTTTCATTTTAATAAATTCATATACACACCAGATGATGTGTATTACACATTTCAGTTTTCGCAAGCATCAAACTAAATGTAGAAAAATTTATAAATGTAATAGCAAAGACATAAATTTGCATCACAAATAAATAAAATAAAATGAACCATAGAGAAAGATAAATAGAGTACATGATAGCAAATACAATATTTAAGCCTCTAAAATTGCTGCAAATCAATATAGCAAAAGAGCGAAAATGTCTATTTGATTGAAATAAGTTATCTTCATAATGACACCAACACTTCAGCAAATCCTATCCTGATAAGTTATCTTGACAGAACTTGTTACTTTCTTCTGCGTTTTGTGGAAGGCTATGTAATATTTCATACATTCCTACAAGCATTATTAAACAATAATAATGAGAAAGAAAAAAAAAAAATAAGGGCCTAGAGCTTGAATTAAACTCATGTTGAACTAAAATTCAACAATACCCATACTTGATTTAAGCGCTTTGAAAGAAGAAAAAATAATTTGCATTGAAAAATATATTGTTTGAACAATTCTTGTTTTAAAAATGTGAATCAATCCTTGCTAAGACCATGACAATGTCTGAAAATCAATGGGTTGCTCCTCAAGTTTGGATTTGTGAATGGAGGCGACAATGTAAAAAAGAAATAAAAAGATTTGAGTATGATGTGAGAGAAATAAAAAAGAAAAGGAGACATACGAACATGAGAGGAGAGAAAAACAAAACGCCTCTAGTCCTAAGTAAATGGGCATAACCCATGCTTCATATTTTTTAATGTTAAAGAGATGTGTCAACCTTTTATTGAGCCCACTCAACTTGATAAGGTAGGACCCAAGCATTATCCAATTATAAAAATTGAGTATTCTAGTCATGCAAAAAAAGATGGACAATAAGTTAGGTTTTACTGGGGAGAACTTCTATCATCACAATTTTATTTTAACACATCATATTTGATTGTCAATTAAAAATAATTGAAAGAAAAAAAATAATAAAAATTAGGTGAACCTATTTCATTTCTGGATGATATATATATATTTTTATTAACCTTGATGTGTGTCATGATTAGATTGTGTATGTGATGATGATATGTAGACCTTTTCACCAGTGAATATATAAGTATTGTCTAAAAAATATTATGTGCATACGTATTTATTTGAATTTTTTAAAAGAAAATATTTTATATATATATAATATAAAATTACCAAATTGGCTTTATTTAAATAAAAAATTAATTTTAATTTTAAGACTAATTTGGTGCTCTCAAATATAATATAAGAATAATAATAAATAAAATAAAAATTATATTCATGATTACCTACAAGACTCAATAAATTAGCCACAAGGTTTCTGTTCCTATCAAAGGACCAAATAGCCAAGCGGTGTTCGAATGTCGGTGGAGATAGGGTGTGTGCGTAATTACTTTAACTTCTGAAAAAAAAAAAAAAAAGTTTCTGTTTCTCGTAGACTGAGTCAATGGAAACATGATCACTGTTATTATTATAATATTATAATCAATAATAATACTGTATTAACTTCCTGCATAAAGATCAAAAAAAAAAAAAAATCAATTTGTTGCCTGTAAAAAGATAGTGATATAGTGAAGTTTTCTCCTGGAAGAAAAATTAGTAGCATTAGAGAAAAGTGTTCGGATCGGATGCGCACACTAACTCGTCCCACCAATCTCCATTTAAATTCTCACTCAAATATATATATTTCTAATTTCTACTTAGGTTTTAAAAAAATTATATTTAAAATATAAATCAAATAAAAATTCTCCAAAAAAAAACGCAATTTTACCAAATAAACACTAATATTATTCCTAAAAATAAGAGTAATTTTACATATTATAACTTATGATAAAATAATATTTTCGTATTATAAACTAGACAGAGCGGGATGGTCTTCCCTGCCCGTACTTGAACGAATTTTTTACTCTAAAATTTGTTCCTATCCAAAATTATTGAATATATCTTTAAAACGAGTTTAAACAGAATTAAGTGGATAATTATTATCGGAGCCTTTAGAATAATTCAAATTAATTGAATGAAGCCAAATAAACCACTAAATAATCTCACCAGATTTGAATTACCCATCAAGGATACATCATCTACAGATGCATGACTTTTTTTTTTTTTTTTGTGCGCTTTTAAAAAACGTGACAATTTGAATAAAAAAAATTGATTAAAACCACAAAATTCAGTTCTTATTGGATTTATTCAAATCAATTTGAAAAATAACAATAGACAGTTAGTCTTGTGGGATTAATTAAAGTGCCGGCAAAATAGTTCGGACATCCATGATTATTTGAAAAAAAAAAAAAAAAATTAATAAAAAAAATAAATAGACAGTCCAAAGGACAATTCCAAATCGCAGATTGCACAAATTAACAAATACTCCGCAATTACAACAAATCATTAATCATTCTTGATTGGGATTCATTCCTCAAAATGGTTTGGATCTTTCTCATCCATCATAGTGAACAAAAAATTTAAATTAGTACTGTACATGAATTATTTTTTATTTACTTATTTCACATCATTAATCATTCTTGATTGGGATTCATTCCTCAAAATGGTGGCAAATCATCCCTAAGTTTTTGTAAGTGTCAAGTGTGACATATTTTCTGGTTGACTTTTCTCTCACTGTATCACACACCATATGTGTCTATGCAGCAGCGTCTATGATCGCAGAGCGCCTTAAACTAAATCAAAATGTCAACAGCAACAGCCCTTGTATGCAAGCCCACCACCACCACCACAATCACATCATTTCCCAAACTCAAATATCTGAAACGCGTTTCTTACACTAAAATTCCCATCTCCAAATTGGTTTTGTGTGGCCAATCTCTTTCCCAGAAACCCGTTTCAGTGGATAACAGATGCTGGCGTCCAAACACCATGACCGAGTCGACCCAAACTTCTGCCTTCAAGAGTAGTAATGGTGACGGAGTTGTTAGACCATTCGAACAAGAAGCTCTCATCCGCCGGTCCTCGGATTTTCGCCCCAATTTTATGGCTTGTGGTCTCGAATCGATTCTCAATAGTCTGGTTCGTATAGTTCCATCTTTTTCTTGATTATAAAAGCATACGTGTGAATATATACATATATGTATATTTAGTGATGTATTATGGCCTGATGAGGAACTGAAGATATGAGTTTCAGAGAATTAATTGATTGGTTATGGTTCAGTATTGGTAGCTTCTGATTGATTTGTTTCAAATGATTTGATTTAGAAAACAGAGAAGTATTAGTCTAGAGAAAATCAAATGAATATGAAGTGTTTATATTATGTTTATCCCTTTTTGTTGATTTGCCATACATTTAGTGAGTCATCTCGAATAGCTAGGATTCAACCTGGGCTGCACACAACTTGGGTCTTAATTTTCAGTCATATGGGCTACAGACTACAAATTAGACTGTTCCTTTTACTCCAAATTGCTGTCTCAGTTCTTATCCGTCCGTGTAGGTTTAGAGTGGTTCCTTAAATGAGTTGGTGTATATTTCATATGGGCCAAGACTTGTTCTGGATTGGGAATACAAATTTCATGTTTTGTAAAGATTTTGACCTGCATTTTTTTTTTTTTTATTCCTGCCCAGCATTCTGGTTTGGCTGGTCCCCAGATACAAAAGTTGGCATTAAGCTCTTCCTTTGTCCCTAGACCTGAGCTGACTGCTGTTTTTTGGCATCCCCAAGTGACGGGGGATAAGTATTTGGCAATTACTAGTCATGTATAATGGCCATCTAAAGCAATCAATTCTGAAAATTACCTCCCAAAGCGCTCTTACACTTGGTTTTCATGTCAGTTTTTGGGATGCCCAGATGTTTGCCATGTCAACAAGTTTTGCAGAATGCGAAAGTAACATTAGATTAACCTTTTAAGAGCCTGCTTCCAAATGCAGTTGTTCATATAGTAATGGACGTATACATAGTCTGACATTATCCTTCATTATTTTCCTTTCCATTTATGTTTGTTAGTTGGCAAATGATTGAAGGTGTATTCTGAGTTCAACTAAATCTGGTTTGCTATTTTAGTTGTGGTGCTTATTGTTATTCTTTCACACCAGGCTAGCAATTTCTCATTTATTTGTATGTTCTTTGAAAATTTTCTAAATTAATTGATACTCATGATACTTACATATTGGAACTAAATTCCGTATTAGTCCATATCTCATGGCATATGTTTAATTTCCCCAAAAATGTTGTCAAGTTCTAAAAATAATCAGATCTATGGTCTTATGCATCCTGGCCAATGTATTATCCAATATATTTGTGCTGTACTACTGTTGATTACAGAGCAAGTGGTTTGTGGCTGCACTTTTTGGTGCAGTCTTCCTCTGGAGGCATGATGCTGAAGCTTTATGGGCTGCTACGGGTTCTGTATTAAACGCTGGCCTCTCAGTTGCACTTAAGCACATATTAAACCAAGAGCGGCCCATTCCTACCTCAAGATCAGACCCTGGAATGCCATCTTCACATGCCCAATCCATCTTCTTTACCAACATTTTTGTTATTAAGTCAAGTAACTTTCTTCCACCACCCTTTTACCTTGAGAAATCTGAAGCTTGATTTATAATTTGCATATAATTCTTTGTCCAACCATCATGCTCTATTAATGTTAAGTTCCATCATGGTCTATTCATGTTAAGTTTATAATATTTAAAGCTTGATTTATAATTTGCATATAATTCTTTTTCTACAGTCATGCTCTATTGATATTAAGTTTATAATATTTAAGAGTAATGTCATTCAGTCATTTCATTTTAATCATTACAATCTAGACAGGATTCTTAAGAGGACTAATGTAGCATGTGATAGTTGATGCCATTGGTATCTGATAAAATTTACTGTCTTTCTACATCGTTTTCTTTTATTTTTTGAGGGGTGGAGGGCACAGTTACTCCGTCAATTGCAAATCATCTTTTCCTCATAATCCATTATTTATCAAATGCAAGAATCTAGAGTAAGTATAGCATTAGTAAAAACTACTTGTACAGATAAATTACATCATTGGAAGCATCAGGTTCCCCAGTACTCTGGTATCTGGTATCAACCAAATAAATTTTAATGAAGTAGTGAAAATGGCGACTCTTTCAACTTATGCAATCATGATTAGCATAGAATTTTAAATGAGTTTTTCCTTAGAGATGTTTCATTTGTACTCTCATGAATTATAATATGGTAAGTCCATTTTCGGTAGTGAGACTTTTATTTTTATTTTTGCTGAGACTTATTAGTATTTGGTATGGAGAGTTTTCTGAGATTGTTTTTTAAGTGGTCTGTGAAATGAAATGAAATGAATGCATTCTCTAACACACTCTTAACTTATATGTCATTACAATTATTTTATGTGAGTTTAGGCCATTGTTCCATTGTTTGCTTATGGTGATGTTTAAATAACTACACTGTAGCTATAACACCTTTCTAGATGGTTTCTAATGTCTGTTTCTGTGCTTGCTGTTGCAGTGATGGATTGGCTTGGGGTGAATGGATATACAGTAACTCTCAGTGTTCTTCTCTTGGCACTTGGTTCATATTTTGTGAGTATCATGACATGGACTTCTTTATGTAATTGAATTCAGAATAGCACTCACACACACATGCTTGTAGCTTAACTATACTCTTTTAGATATTTTATTCTTGAAAATTCTTAATTGTTATTAGACTTCCTGGAATCATAAAGACACTTCATAATGAAAATTTTAGATCCATTTCTAAACTATTATGTATTACGAAATATTCATGTAAGCAAATCAAGTTATCCTAAAAATAAATTTATTTAGTGGTACAGTCAACATGACAAATTATCCAAGTTTATTTGAAAACAAAAGCTTGGCGTAACCCATTCAATTAGCTTAATCAACCGATTTCTATTGCGTATATAAGTAACTTGCATGTTACACGAAAAGAAAAAAGAAAAAAACTGTAACCAATCTTGGAAGAATTCCCGAAGTCCCCTGAAAACTTCTGAAATCCATGTTGACCAGGGTAAAGCTGTTACTTGAGATTATGAAATCCATCCTAGAACTGTCAGCTGCTTGATTTGGCTTGTTGCATAACTTGTTACAAAATTACTTGAAAAAGATTCAAGTACTCAAAAGTTGAAACAGACTAAATATCACTAATCTTAAAAAATAAATAAAATGAAAGAAAGAAATAGACTAAATATTTTCACATGATATCTCAATATCTATATGTTACAGAAAGGACTAATATTACTTGTTGAATGACAACTGATGAGTAACACAATATCTAGTTTTGCAAACCATCTCTTTTGTCTTTATTATTGAGTTGATTCTTCTGTGGAATAATATATATATATATATATAAGCTTTAAGAAATATAAAATAAATGTCCATCTGAGACTGTATCAAAGATGCACACTGAGATTTTTCCAGCTACTGGGAAGTAGATACAATGATTCTCTCTGACACATGTTTCTGGGACTGCATGCTTAAGGTAATGCTATAAGCCTATGTAAACTTTGCAAACCAGTGAGTCATGATTTCAAATAATTGAGGTCCACTATGAAAGATGAGCTACTAGGAAAGCAAGAAATGGTAAGTTTGATTATCTGTGTGTATCTTTTTTGCAGTCATGGCTACGGGTTTCACAGAAACTGCACACAATGAACCAAATAGTAGTGGGAGCAACATTGGGATCAATTTTCTCCATTTTGTGGTTCTGGTTGTGGGATGAGATTGTGCTGAAAGCGTTTATCTCCCATTTATGGGTTCGACTTGTCGTTATTCTGGGGGGCTCTGGATTTTGCCTGTGCTTTATTTTGTACGTCATTCGGTTTTGGTTTAATGATGATCGATGAACTTTGTATCATGTATATTAAAAAGTTATACACGAATTCAAAAACTTGCAATTTCTTTGTTTGTACTGTATGCAGGACCCTAGTGTGACTCCAAGATCTGTTTACGGATGAAATTTTGTGGTAGAAATGTACATGGAAATTCTTTATTTTCTATTTTATCCAGTTGTATCTTCTGCATTAATTCCCCTCGAATTCAGAAAGAACAGGACTGAACCTGAAAGCTCAAAATATTTGACAATAGAGGTGATTAGAAGAAGAAAGGGGAAGAGAATTCCTTTCAGATTTACAAACTTGTATATCTAAACTAAATTTGACCAAACATAATGGAACCCAGCCTATTTATTTCCTCTGTATATGGTGAGCTGCTTCTGTTAAGCTTATAGAGGGACAGCTTTTGACAACATGGCTTCAACAAAGGGGCATTCAGAACATAGATAGATGCACAGTGGACTCCTCAGGATACCACGTAACACAAGTATAGTCTCTACTGTGCGCCATTGCCTCAATTTGTTCGAAGTTTGGTATTTTTTTCAGTGTTAACAAGGTCGTGTAAATTCAATAGCAGAGGGAAGCCAGCTAATTTGGTGCCATCTTCAACTGGCAACTGACCTCTTAGTCTTAGCTCTTCCCATGTCGATTTTGATGGCTAGTGCCCCTTAGCAATTGAAGCCCACAAACACTACCCCTCTCCAGTATAGTCTGGTATTACAGACCCTGTACCGGCATAAATCTTTGATCTCCCAACTTGAAGAAACAGGCCACAGCCACACGATTCGCTGATAATTGCAGCCACATTGGCATTCTGGTGCTGTCTGCATAGCAGATTATTCTGCCACCACACTTTTCCGATAAAGGCACCATGGGAAGCCAACTATCAAGCCATAAGAAATTTGTTTTTCCATTTCAATCTCATTCTCAAAGTAGCTCCTAGTTCCAGCCCTGAGCTTCAATACCTCCACAACGATGGAACACTCCGCCCAAACCAGTATCTCACCTTATAAGCGATCTAGCTTCAAGTTAGGAACTGCAAAATCCATGGCTTGCGATATAAATAAAGGTGGAGTTGAGGCACAGTCCAGACTTACCACTTCGAACCAGGTTCTTCTTATGGTAAAACTTTTTATCGAACGTCTTGACCCATTTGGGCGTATGTGGTAATTATTGTTGTCCATGAAACGACATCTCGCGTCCTCATGTTTTCAAATAAGCAAAAGCCATATTCTAGTTTCCCACACTTGTTGTACATAGTAGTGAGAGTATTCACAACAAACGAGCTCATATCAAAGCCTTTCTTCATTATTTGGGTGTGGATTTCCCTCCCATGATTCAAAGCACCTATGTCAGCGCACGCCTTCAGTGCAATGGCAAATGTGTACGAATCATATCCCACTCTTGCCCTTCCCATTTCAGAAAAATACATCAACCCCTCAATATTATAGCCCAGTAATGATTGCAGTCCATGAAACTACATTTCTGACCGGCATTTCATTAAAGACTCTACAACCATCCCAAATTTTGCCAGTTTATGAGTACATCTCCAAAAGGGAACTCCCCACAAAAACAGAGTTCACCAAACCAGATTTTACGGAGTACCCATCTAGTAATTCTCCATGTTTCACATTGAAGTCAAGTCCACACGCTTTAAGCGCTAGACTAAGTACGAAGGGGTCCATTTGGAGAGTATGATCAACCCACATTTTCGAGAACAAAACCAATGCTTCTGATGAATCAGAGGCACTCACATACCAAGAAATCATGGTGGTTCATGAGATTTCATCTATGTGAGGCAATTTATCGAACATTTGGCGAGCATCATTCAGGTGACCGGTTTTGACTAATTCCTTCAATTGAGAGTTAACTTCAAGCATAACTACTCGAGTAACGTCATTGGTTTTTTAAGCTAAGAAGTCCTAGATTTTCCCTAAAACCAAAGACTCTCTGGATTCATTGTAAGCAATGGTTGATACTGTATATAACCGCCTCATATAAGGCCTGATTGATGCAACCATGTTTATGTTAGTTTAGCAGCCATACCACAATTGCATACCTGTTCTCAACTTAGTTTGGGAAATTGGAAAGAGAAAGTAGAAAGGGAATGAAGAAGGTTGGAAACCTTACCAAGGCAGGTATGCGCCGCTTGCCATAGTGGCCTAATAGAAATTCAAATTTGGTTTTAAAGAACGGATCCAAATACATAACTGGTCCATTTTCAAAGAAAAGCCCACTGTATGGGTGGCCCAATATGGCTTGTGAAGGGTTTGGGTCAGGGAAGGGCTGTGCACTAAGCGTAGGGATAGCAAAATTCTCATACCTGCCCCCGGGGGCCTAGCAGTGATGGTAAGTCTTGGGTGTTGGTTCGACATGGCTAGGGTTCGATTCCTACCTCGCCGGCTGAGTTCTTAGGCTGACCATTGCGCCTGACCGGGGGGATTAGTCGGGGCGTCAGCGTCGGATACCTCCTATTCAAAAAAAAAAATTCTCATACCTGACGGGTCCCCGCTCCATCTTGTCCCTGTTATGGCGGGTTTGGGGACCCATTTATGTAAATAGCCTGCCCCTGTTATGGCGGGTTTAAGTACCCATTTATGTAAATAGGGAAGGAATGGGAATTGTATTAGAAACCCCGGCATGGGACGGAGCGGGGTTACCGATAACCCCACCCCTCCCCGTCTAGTTTATAGTGTATTTTTACAAAACTGTCCTTACATGTTATAAAATATTACTAAATTACATAACTATATATATAATATATTCACTTCTGAAACCCTAAATCTATTCCCTCGCAGCATAGTCGTTGTTGGAAGAATGTTATTTGTTTTGATTGATCATGTTGAAAATTTTCAGATTATTCCAAAAAATGTTATATGTGATTTTGCTATAAGTTTGATCGGGTTAAAATGATATGTTTTAAATTATTATAATTGTGCTGAAACTTTATTAAATTATTAGGTTGAAAAATATTATAATTGTGTTGATTTTGTTGAAGGTGAATTAGAATTTAAAAAAAGTTATGCAGGGCGGGGACGGGGGCTAATGTGGAGGGACGGGGCGGGGACGGGGGAGGAGGTTGAAATTTAAACGGGTATGGGGCGAGAATAGGGATAAAAAATTTGACCGAGGTTGGAGATGGGGAATGAGATCCCCGCTCTACCCTGCTCCATTGTTATCCCTAATTAAGCAACTCGGTCAATTTGTCATGCCTATACCAGAATTTTTAATTTTTATAAAAAGTCACAAATAGCATATGATATAGGGTCTCAATTATGTGCGCAATTATGTGCATTGGAGCTTCTGTCACATCTTTGTGAAAATTGTATAGTATGAAAGAGTTGGAAGACTGTAGAATTTTTGATAGATTGTAGAGATTTATAGCGAAGATATTTTTTTGAAGATTAGAAACTGAAGTGATGTAAAAGTTGATAAATATTTAAAATATTTTGCGTAAGAGTAAAAAGGCTGAAAAAGATGCTCTATTTATAGATAAAGGAGTTATCGGTAAAAACTTCAAATCGTGGGGTCGCCAAAAATTTTTTTGGATTTGCGTGCTTACATTATGCAATAAAGTCATCATCTTCACATCCATGAAATATTAGATTTGACAATAATCAAATACCATATGCTAACAGATGTCCACATCCATGAAATATTAGATTTGACTCTAATCACTGTTAACCATTATTTAGTTCTGTTTAAGAAATAATTGTATCATAAAATTGTGAATTACGATTCTCTTTTTTTTATTATTATCTATTAAAAAATAATAATAATAAACACTCAATTTGCGATTAGCAAAAAAAAATAAAAACATAATTAAAAAAACCAAATTAACACAAAATAATAATAATAATAAATTACGAAAACTAAAGAAATAAAATAGAATTGTAGGTATATGAGTTTTTTTTTGTCATAAAAAAAATAATAATAATAACTTCTTTACGCCCACTGTTATATAATGAATTACATATCAAGTTCAAATAACATATTTGATGATTAATGCAGCCATCAAAGAGTGAGCACTAAAGTGAATTGAATGTGCTTTCAATTCAACACATTCATTTTGATGATTGTTTGCTTTACTTATTATAGAAGTAGTAATTTTCAGCAAAAATATGAAAATATTGGTCATAGTCAAGCTTTCTAACATGTATAAAAATATATATATATATATAAATAATTATGCTCAAATATAGAGATGAAATCCCCGGGCCATAAATTGTTACTCAAGCCACATTTATATAGTCTTTCCTTCATCTTACAATCTGATTTTAACTGATATGAAAGCTAGGCATTAATTTCTCTCTACTATCCAACACATATATAGCACCAAATTTCCTAAACAACAAAGTTTGCAACATATAAAATTGTAACTATATATAATTCTATAGAAGTTATATAATCTATTGATCCCACTGCAGCAACAGCAACCCTCCTGGACGAACAATATTCATCTCTAAGAGAGAAATTGACCATCTCCCAGAAACTAATTAAGTACCCTCACAACAAACACCTTCACTTCGACAACACTCTTTTCACACACACACACACACACTTCCATTTTATATATAGGACTTCCAACATTTTAGTGTCCGATACGCCTGCCTCTAGCAGCCCTTGCCCTCTTCCACCTCTCAATGTTTCTCATCCTAGCAAATATTTTCCTTATTTGATACAGCTTGTGGGACTGTTGGGCGATCAAACTAGCAGTTGAGGGGCTTTGGCTCAGAACTATCTCATACCCATCGCGGAAGGAGTCCATGCCTTCGGTCAGGAGTTGCCAAAACATGCCTCCACCAGCTGCTCCACCACGTCTGGCTGACGAGTATATATTGTAATATACAATTTTGAACAAGTTGTCCCTCTCGTAGGTGCTGAAACCAGAATCTTTCGACGATTTCCCAAATTCTGCGACGAGTATTGGCTTGCGAAGAACGTATTGTGCATCTCTAATGTGTGCGCTGAGCCAGTTGTTCATAAATGAAAGCTGAGATTGATCACTTGAGCTAGATAACCTGTCATAGAACAAAACCAAAGCCATGTCAAGAATTTGAGGTACAACAACCAAACTTATGGTAAGCATCACAAACACTAGAATGTTGGTTGGATAACATCATGGTGGTGCTAATAGCTTCAACTATCCACTTCAAGAGAACAACATAATTTGAATATTGATCTTTATAATAGCAATGAAATTTCAGTGGATTGCATGTTACCATTGATCAGGGTATGCGTGAACTGTAGCAAAATCAATGCCAGGAATCCGATTATTCGCGATAAAATCAGTTCCTATATTTAAAGCAGGATTGAGTCTCTTCCTCCGCGGTGTTGTTTGTCCATAAAATCCTTCTAACCCAGCTTCCAGCAAGTGATTTCTGTCTATTGACTTAACATGAGAAGCCATTTCCGTTATCCAGGCCTATCAATCACCAATAAATTAAATTCAGCAACTAAATTTTACTTATTAATGCAAAATTCATGTTGAATGAATTGGCAATAAGAAACAGCACATGGCATCAATTTGTCACCAACTGTGACACTCACTAAGAGCTATCCCTTATGGAGGTGGGTGTGGAGGGTGGGCAATGATGTGCAAAACAATCAATGGTTACCCAAAGTACCAATTAAGGTGGACTGCTGCATTTGGTATATGTCTGTATCACATAGTGCAATGTCTGTGCTATGTGCACACGCAGGAAGAAATTAAAATCAAAATTAAATGGATTGGTAAGAAATCTAGTTATTTATTATTGAGAGGACCAAATAAACTACAAAAAAAAAAAAAATTGAATACAAAAAGTTGAACCTGAATGGTCCTCCCTGATGGATCTGATGTGCATCTGGGCTCATTCATAAGCTCCCAAGCCATGATTGTTGGGTCATTTTTGTAAACAACTCCAGTCATGGTGTTGTATCTGTTAATAACAGTCTGCAAAAAAAATACACACAAATAGAACTATGTTTTATAAAAACCCCACATCTCATGAAGGAAAAGGCATAGAGAATTTCTAAAGAACACAACAAATAAATTGAAAAGAAAAATCAAAGAATGTGTCTTGTTACCAACCTTGACATGGTTCTTGTAATATCCCTTGACAATGGGGTTTCTAAAGAAATCATCATCAGATGTGAGGTACTGCCCTCGACTTCTAGCCCAATTCACATACTGTTTCTTACCTCCAAGGTTCTCATAGTTATTCACAAAACTCAAAACAAGCTTAATTCCATACCTTCTTGCCTCAGCTATTACAAAATCCAACCCCTTCAAACCAATTAATAATAATAAAATTAGAACAAAATGTCAAAAGACAGCTAGAGAGAGAGAGAAAGAGAGAGACCTTAAACATTTGGTCATTGTAAGAGCCAGGAGAGTACTGTAGAGGTCTATAGCCACCATCACTAAAGGCCCAAGTTCTAGCAACAGTGAGGCCATGGCTTGAAGCTTCTTTGAAGGCAGCTGAGACTTTGTTTCTCTGAGATGGGTCAGAAGCCACATACATCAACCAGTAGGCATTGAAGCCATTGGCATAGTAAGGACTACCATTTAACACAAAATGAACTCCTCTGGTTCTGATGAAACCATCCCCTGCCTCAACTGGAAACACAAGACATTGTTGATGGATCAAAAAAGCAAGGAGACAGGCCAATACCAAATGCTTCATCTCTCTGTCTCTCAATGCCAAGTGTTTGCAAAAAGTGGAGAAGAGCACTCTTATAGGTGTTCTGTAAACAAATAAAATGACATATACAGAGAAAGGTTGTTTTCACAGTCACACAGAGTCAAAATAGTTACTCCCAATCTTAATTATCAAAATTACTTTTTAATTCATTTAATGCATGTCAGAGAAGCATGGCTAACATGTTACCTAATCATGGTTCTGGCTTTAAAATTTATTGTCTTTTTAATATGACACTGAACATTTATTTGTCTACTGAAAATGAAGAGTATAGTCTCATATGGAGGGACACGTCAAGCGATGTGAACTAAATTACATTATCAATTCATCACATCTCGCTCTTTCAACAACAGAAGTGAGATTAGACTCTTGATCCAATAATTAAAAAGGCACTGAGTTAAGAAATCAAAATCTTCTTCAATCACGATTCTTTGCTGCTTTCTCGGGTGAAATTGGCATTTTTTAATGGTTAATTTTATAATAATAAATTGTCTATGCTTCTTTAATTGTATACAATAAGAAAGTTATTGCGATACAATAGACTGGTCTAGGCACAAAACAATCCTGATCGTACATTTAATGATAATCCAATGAAAATGATGGTCATTTGAGGTATGTAGTGAAAAAGCAGTAAAGGTTGATGAGGGACGGACCATCCAAACCACAAAAGGCATATCCAATTAGGAAAGACAAAAAAGGAAGAAACCCTAATTTCACGGGACTCCAGTGGGATCTGCTAGAGTGCACGGTACTCGTCGGTGCATGTCTAAAGATAGTGATTGTGTATTGTTCATCACTTTGCATGGGTTGGTGCAACAATCACCACCCTTTATACATATTTGTGTACTTGAAAGGATATTTGTGCAGATATACACTAGAATGTGTATTTGATAATTAAAAATTTAAAATGCATTTCGCAATTCAATCTTCTCAGAAAATGATATTATTTATTATGGATAAAGTATATCCACATCCTCTGAGGTTTGACAAAAAGATACTTAAACGAAACTTACTTATTTTTTGGACAAAGACACCCCATCAAGGTTCAAAAATGGACAAAGACACCCCTTTACATGAAAACTTGACCAAATTAGTCCTTGACTGTTTAGGAGTCTTTTTTAACTTTACAATTTAATAAATTGGACCAATCTACCCTCATGAACAATTTATGCATAAAAAATAAAAATAAAAAAATCTTTAAATTGTTCATTTTTTTTTTTCTTATTTACTTTATAAATATCCCAACTTCTTAAAAATGTAGACGTCTAAAATGATTTTTTTGATCCAATACATATATTTTAAATAAATTATATTTTGTTATTACTTCTTTTCTTTTTCTTTCTTATTTTTATATTTAGATGCTTAATTCTTTCATCTAAAAAAATTAAACCAATCATTTTTCCTTAAAAATAAAAAATATGGTACCAGTATAACTTTATGCATCTTAAATTATATATCAAATATTATGCATTTCCCAAGAAAAAAAGATCATGTAAAAAATGCATTCGAATTACCATTTTCCCTGACTTTTAACACGGATAGCCCCTATCATGGGAGTCTAAAGGGGAAAAAATAATAATAAAACAAAGGGAAAAAAAAAAAGGGCATGCATAAAGTTATACTGGTACCATATTTTTTATTTTTAAGGAAAAAAGATTGGTTTAATTTTTTTAGATAAAAGAATTAAGCATCTTAATTTAAAAATAAAAAGAAAAAGAAAAAAAATAATAACAAAATATAATTTATTTGAAATATATGTATTGGATCAAAAAATCATTTTAGACGTCTACATTTTTAAGAAGTTGGGACATTTATAAAGTTAAAAATAATAATAAAAAAAAAAGTGAAAAATATAAAGTTTTTTTTTTTAACTTTTTTTTTATGCATAAATTGTTCATGAGGGTAGATTGGTCCATTTTATTAAATTCTTAAGTTAAAAAAGTCTTCTAAACAGTCAAAAGGTAATTTGGTCAATTTCTCATATAAAGAGGTGTCTTTGTCTATTTTTGAACCTTCAGGGAGTGTCTCTGTTCAAAAAATAGGTAAGTTTTATCTTAATGTCCTTTTGTCAAACTTTAAAAGGTGTTATTATACTTTATCCTATTATTATTATTTAACCAAACCAACACGAGAAACAAAACAAACAAAGCAAAAGCCACTAGTCTCAACCAGGTTGCGTGCGGACTTGATTTCTTAAAAAGAAAAAAAAGGACAGATAAACTTACCCTACAAATGTAAAGAATAAAGTTATTGATTACTCCCAAAGTATTGATAAGTTGTTATATTTTATTATCAAAGAAAATAATGAATATTTATTGACTGAAATATTACAAGATCACTTTTGAAATACAAATTATTTTTAATAATTTTAGATAACTTTTCTTGAAATTTGAGCAAATTACACCTAAATTCACTCGCATTTATTACTATGAATTTTTCTAAAGTCATTTGCGTGCAAAAAAGTCAATATATTATATTATATTTTATATTAAAAAATCATTTTATAAAATTGATCAATAAATCTGTCAAAAAAATTAACTTAGGAGAGTTGTTGAACAGGCACACAAAATTTTAAAAGATGTCAAAGTAATACTCCTTCACTCCCAAAATAGACGTATAGGGAATTTAACTTTTTATGATGCGGAGTTTTAATAATTTTTTTATTGGAGTGATAAAAGTGAAGTTTCAAATATGACCTCATTAAAAGATAAAATAGTGTTTCGCAATTAATATGAAAATATTATAAAAATAGTATATTCAAGTTTAAAGTTAAATATTTTAAAATAAAAAGATAGGTAAATATTTTAAGATGATGGATTAAATGTTGAAGGATTTATTTACGTGTAACACATATATATATATATATATATATATATATATATATATGTATGTATGCATTGACTGATGAAAAATGTTTGTGTGGTGGTGTTTGTTTCTCTTTCTAAGTTATGCACCGTACACGCAGCGTATGATTTAGGATGTGGGGGTAGTGGCGACCCTTGGCATGCGATACACCGCATGGGGTTTGCCCACTCTCATTCACTCATTAGATTGGGTGGATGTATGTGCATGTGCCAATGCTTCCTACAGATCCTTACAAGCTCCTGCTCAGATCTTCTCCTCGTTTTTGTGGGACTCTCTCATTAATTTTTCCGCGATTTGACGCAACCTTGTTCTACTCACCAAAAAAAATTGAAAATTATTCATACAAGATAAAGTCAATGTTCTTCTAAGTTCATGTTCGCGAGACACGTCTTACAAATTGATTAATCGAACAAAAAAACATTGTCGCACACTAAAATAAGGTCTATATTATCCGAAAATGCATATGTTTATTAAGTAAATTGTTTTTTAAAAACATTGTCGCACACTAAAATAAGGTTCTATATTATCTGAAAATGCATATGTTTATTAAGTTAATTGTTTTTTTAAAAAAAAATATGTCAAATAAAATAATAATTAATTTTTTTATCAATGAAAACATTAAGATTTATAGAAATTATCAGGTCACAAAAAGTATATTATATTATTAAGATATTGTATTACAGTATTACTTAACTGAAAAAACATTATATATATTGCCAAAAAAAAAAAAGGAAAAGAAAACCAGTAACATATCTGAGTTAAAAGTGTCGGCTGGCACATTAATTTCCGGTATTAATAAAAACTACTTTTTCGGGTTTGGACGACATGTGGGGTGGTGTGTTGGGCCCACCTCCTTGATGTTGACAGAATCGGCAGGCCCAGAAACAAATCCTTATAAATATATATATATACATATTGGGGGCCCATTTGCGTTGTTTAGCGGATTGCTAACATGCGCGGAAAGAGGTACGTATCATTTTTACCCCTTTTTGGGTGATTGGATAAAGAACAAAGATTTCGCACCCTCACACAAAACGAGCGTCCATTTCTGGCATCCAATGCTCTTTACGGGCCTGGAATTGACATATATCTATCATAATCAGTGTGTGGTCCCCTTTCCAGCCCAAGAGAAGGCCCAAAGATACAAGCCCAACACTGCCCCACCGCTAGTGATATTTAAGTTGAGGCTTTTGAGACCAATAAGAAAAGATGAGTTGTTCCAAAGGGTTCAAGATTGTGTAGTATTACTAAAAGAAAAAAGGTGAATATTTTCCAAAGTTTTCTCCTTTCAGGTTATTGGTTCACTTATAAAGAGTAAAGTTAGGGCTTCACATAAGGTTTGTTCCATTGTGACCAAAGGTTATAGTGGAAATAGACTAAATAGTTTTCGGACATACGAAAATATCTAAACTCCGATCCTTATGCATTGAGATTGCCCTTTAAGAGGAAAGAGTGGAAGAGAAAAGAAACAAAACTAGCATTGAGGGTCCATGAAAACTGGCACCTCAAAAGTGGGGTAATTTAGATAGAAGTACAACAATTAAAACAAAATATAAGTGGGGCTATGAATGAGGATCATATCTTCTGACCAAATCAATAAAGTTTTTAAGCTTTCTTGTCTCTCTTCTCTCTTCCGGAACAAGTTTAGTACATTGCATCCCCAATAAAAGATTGTGATCACCTCTCTTTTTCCCGTATTTTATTATCTTCTCTTCAATTAACAAACTTGGACTAGTTTGTTTTACTGTAATCTATCTTCCTGCAATTTTCTTTTTCATTTTAGATAAAACAAAATAATTTTTTTTATTTTTTATTTTTTATTTTTTATGTTCAGCAAAAGTCTAAGTGAATTCCATCAGGTGGGGTGTATAAAATAATTTATCAAAAATTAATGGATAATTTATTTTTGTTAGGTTTTAATATTTTTTTTTCTTTGTACATATTTTACGACAGTCAAACATCAAAAATATATATATATATATTAAAAAATATTTTACTTCAAAACAAAAGAGCCTAAAGAACATACTATTGAAGTCAACAAACCATCTTAATTTTTTCTTCAAGAAATCTACATGCTCCAAAAAAATAAAAAATAGAAGTAACATAAATGATGCTCGTATTGCAAGCAGGGTTGGTTCCATAAACTTGACTACGTTTTAACAAAAGAATAAATTAGTCCATGAAGTACAAGCCGGGGAAGCAGTTGTAGAATAACAAAGACTGATGCGAGTCCATGGCTCCATCTCCATGCAAGCATAACTATCAGAGATTAGCCACCTAAGCCAGTAATTTTTTTTTTTCCCTACAAATTAGGAGAGGGACTCGAACACGGGTACACCCACTTAGAGAACTAAGTGCCCTACCAACTAAAGGGGGTAATGACCTCACTTTCAATAATCGAAGACCAAAAATTTTTGCCAAATAAAAAAGTGATGTGATCCACGTTGACGTAATGCCAAGGTAAAGGGAAAGAAGATACCTAAAACTAACACCAAAATAGTAAAGAAAATACAATACTGTGCGGTACCCAACACCATGGCCTAAGAGCGATTCACAATGAATATTACAGTACCTGACTCCAGCTATTGAGAAGATCGATGACAAGCTTCTGCAATTTCCAACTTGATCACACTACCAAAAAAGAAACATCATCACATAATCACTTAATGCACACTAAATCATGAGTTTCCAATTACACGATCATCTTCACTGCAATTTGTATCGAGTGCAATGGAAACACAGCATTATAATGCTCGAATTGGCCCTCCATATCCATAATGCTTCAGAAGTCCTTCATCTTGCCGCCAATTTTCTTTTACCTTCACTTCAACCTGTTCAATAAATGAGTTGCCTTGAACATGTCATTTCCAACTCAAAACTATTAAAACCGACCACTTGGAACAATTGGCAGCAAGAAATCAGCAGGCTTAAATCACTGTCACTGACAGTATGGTCTGCACTATTTAGTTGGGAACTTGGGATACCAGTAATTCTTAATTAAATATATTAGTGACAACCGCTCAGTGATAAAAAAAAAAAAACCTTAAAATTTGTTGGTACCTCCAAAAAAACTTTCTTCTGCAAGAAATCTTCAATGTCAAGCCGAGCAGCTGTAGCCAGTAGTTTCAGAGCTTTCCCATCCTGTAGAAATTCAGAACACACATGATCACAGACACACACATATAATTTCAAACCTGCCATTCCAGTTTCAAATAATATAGGAGGATTCTCAACATTTCAATATTTTGAACACTGTCACATCATTCAATAAATAGGTTAAGCATCTTGAAAGTGTTTTGGGATGTCACTATAATTTCAAACAAGACTCATCGATGTCTGATCAAATGTAAAACCTTTTCAAGGATTAGGATGAATTACACTGTATTTCCAATAGAAACTAAAGCTAAATATAAAACAAACGATGACAAAGGTAGACACTAATGAAAGAGATTTACAACATAAAGCGTAGAAATTTGGAAGTTCAAGCAGTCACAAAGTTTCAAGTCTGGAGTTTTTCTTTTTTAAAACCCAAGGCATAGTAGTCTTATAGATTCCATACAGGCCTAGTAATAATACTACATGCTACCATGCAGATAAAATAAGCATAGGCCAACAGAATATCTAGAATTATTGTAGACAGCCCATTCCTTGCACTACCATGTGACCAATCACAGCCTACCATGTGGTTTGTCACAAAAAAAGATACGGTCTCCCTGCCTAGAGACACAGGCCAAAGTATTGTGTCCCAAATGCCCAATTCAAACGTATTCTACTTCAAGAGGCTGTACCTTGCTCCTAGACAACTGCCAAGTGGGTGTGTGTATTAGATTTGATGACCTTAATTTGGTAACTGATTAGATGGATTTCAGGGAAAGCAGTGCAACTCTCACCTGACACAAGAATCTAGCCACTCCAGCTTCCCTAAGAGGATGGAGAATTCTCCATTATCCCCAGGATGATTTCCACATCATTGTTGATGCACAAACTACTTTGCAGTTTCAGAGTAACTCCACTATTGCTGACCCTACAAGTCCTGCATCGGCTCCCTTACAGGCCCTGCCATGGACAGCTCTGTAAGCCTATTGATTGGCTCCAGACAGCAGTATATCTGAGCGGCCAACCACTTCCAATACCACACATCCGTGGAAGTCCTAATAAAGCACAATTGGCCTTGGTGCAAGAGGACTAAATCCTAGATACTTGGTAAGGAACCTTTTGACTCTCGGTAACTTCCTCTTTCATGAAATACACCTCCTCCTCAGTCCTCCCCTCTCCTTAAGCTGCTCAACTTCTTGTTAAAGCCAAGACACCCATCTCAACAATCTAATCCCACCAACAGGCCTGTGGCCTAGCGGTACAAGGCCCCTACTTCCCAAAGGAAGGTTAGGGGTTCGAACCTCAGTGGAGGTAGTGTGCGTAAGTACCAACTAGGAAAAAAAAAAAATCTAATCCCACCATTTCATGAGAACACACAAAGAAGCCAATTATTAATTCATATTAAAAAGTATCCCATTGAAGAAAGCTTTAACTTACCTTTCCGATGAGGATGATCTTCTGTGAGTTTTTCTCAACAATAATCTCAACTTGAATAAAATCTTTTGCAGTTGGTCTAGTTTTGTAGTTGACAACGTTGACCTGTACAATTCAAAGATTGATCAACCACACTTCTTGGTTAGATATAAACTTCTGAAAAATTATAAACAGCACCAAGTGAAATTTTAAATAATAATAAGAAGCTTTAGGTGTTTAAAAAATTTAGGTATACCTGACAGGCATAAGGAACTTCGTCTCGGTATTGCATAAAGATTTTTTCTCTGATAATTTCAGCTACAAAAAATCTTTCTGGGTGCTCACTAGCAATATCCTGAGAACACAAGGAAAGCAATGGTAAGTTGTAATATGCAACAAACGTTTTTTATATATCAAATTGTCAAGTCAAAAAAAGTAAAAAGAAAAGAAAATGTACAGTATATTCATCTTAAGATGAGAGACATGGATAGTCAGAAACAAGTAGGGAAATTAATTTATTCTAAATGATATTGGCTAGGTGATCAAAATTAAAGCCAAAACCCCATAAGTAAAAGCTTCAGTCATTGCCAAACGTACAACCGTTGAGATCTTTCACAGCATATTCCTTGATGCATTTTTATGTACTCAAAATTTATCCCAAAAAAATTGTAATGGACTAGAAGAAAATGTGGAAGGCATTTTGATCAACCCATTCCCTGCAAGGCTTGTCATGCATGTCCTATTTAATCTAGTAACTCCATATATAATGATTTCAAACAATTCTCAAAAAAAAAATTATAATAATAGACATACTACTGTCAATGAAGTATATACTGCACAACTTGTTTATTATAGGGGAAAGAAATGTCAGGTCACAGTTTTTTTTAACATTTCTCTTTGTGCTCTGTGAAACTTCTTAATATAACCATCAGGTGTCTTGGGTACCTTAATACAAGAGAGGAAGAAAAAGGAAAAACTCAGAACTTTTACTCAGGCTGGAGTATAGTATCTATCATTACCAGATTGTTACAAAACTCAGAACCCTTCTTTTCCCAAAAACTCAGAACTTTTACGTTATGACGACAAAAAAAGGGTCAAGAAGAAAGAAAAAATAGAGGAGGGGACAAAATGTGTTTGCCTAATTGGATATCTGCTCTTCTGTCATATCAAGTATCTATCCTGCCTGGAATAAGAGAAAGGAAACAGAAGGAGGAAAACCTGAGAGACACTCCATTTACATTATTACTATACCAATCTGAAAGTACAATTTTACTCCTTTGTCATATATTATTTCTCAACACTGACTCAAACTGAGGGTGACTCGATTACAAATCGAAGTAGCCAATAGAAATTCCAGGGATAATCTAGGTCATCTATGAGCTTTACAAAGCAAGATGTAGCCACTTCAATTTCACTTTTTATCTTGATTTAGCTTCAAAGTAACATCTAATCAAACTAATTCGAGGACTTGTCAACGCCAGCATTTGAACAACTAATCTTAGATATATGCAAGTAATTTCACCAAAAATCCTGCCAGCTATCAACCTCATTCAACCCCTCTCAAGGCACACGGTCTTAAGAGTAAAATGAAAGATGCTTAACCATATCTGTTTTTAGGGCTCACAGGCACTAATTTGAAGCTAAACTTAAGACTACATCTATAAATTTTTGTACATTCATCAGATGGAAGAAGTTTAAGACTAACATAGTGTGCTTCTTTCAGTCATGAACAACCAATATAGAAATTGACATAGTTCTTATGCTACAAGTTCAAATTGCTTCCTTCCTTTTCTATCCCTCTTTTGAGTTTTCAATTTTTATTTTACTTTTCGTTTTCATCATGTACTTTTGAGGAGGCAATGTGCCTTGCATCATGGAATACAAACAACCAAAGGGTTCAAGTAGTTAATTTCCAACAGTTGGTAAATGGTTACACTGGAATTATGATAATTAGAAAAACATGCTTTTAAAAGATTACCAGTCTTCATCTTTCAAGGAGAAGGAAGACAACAAGAACAAAAGTGGACTCGTTACATACCTTTGGATAATAAGCTGGCCCAACTGGAAGTTTTGATAGTATCCAGTCCTTGACATCATCCACTCCATGACCATATTTAGCACTCACTGGTATGACCTCATCAACATCGGTGAATTTCTCGTACCACTGCAAGATATACAATGTCGAATTAGGATACAACTTAAGTACCCACCTTATGCCACCAGAGATGAGTGACCATGGATTTCTGTTATGACGAGAACAGTATTTGGGACCTATAAATTAGAGATTATAAACATAACATACCATATACCAGTTTTTTTTGTTTTTTTTTTGTTTTTGTTACATTAACAATGATACGTCAAGCTACAAAAAAAAGTGTAGCTATTCAGGCTACACAATAAAAGATACTGACAAGTTCTAACCTCAAGTTTCTTTGCCATTTCACCAGGTTTGATCAGGTCCCTCTTATTCAAAACCAGTAATTTCGGTACCTTATCTTTGAGGTTTCCCGCACCCTCTTCCAACACTTCATCAATCTAAAAGCAGACAAATATATTTAGGAAAGGGAGACAGTGTTTTAAGAACAATTTTTCCAGATGAAGAAGCACCTTTTGGGGATCCTTACACGCATCAACAACCACCAAAACACAATCTGCATTAATGGCAGCGCTACGGACATTGTTCATCATCATAGAATCCAATTTGTGCAATTTCTTCTCAATAACTCCAGGTGTGTCATAAAGAATCATCTACAAGTAAATCACAGCTAAGACAAATTATTTTAAATAGCATGATGAGATATTTCTTGCATGGAAATCCACACAAAAACAAATTGTGGAAGTAAACAATGTTTGGGACATAAAATTCAAATCATAAATGGCAATGACACGTATGCAGTGGGATACAGCACGAGGAAAAATTATAAATTAAAGTCATATGGAAAAATACAGTCAGAACCTCTGAGAGGCAGCAGGGGGCCTTTCTGTGATACTTCTAATTTCTAAAAGAGTGACGTACTCGTATCATACTTACGGATATGTGTTCGATACTTTCTAAATGTATCTATAATTATAAATTTATTTTTTCTTTCTAAAACATATTGATGGGGAACATGATATGATTCAAATACATGAGTTGCACATGCTTCAACATTACTTTTGGAGAAGAGGGAAAGAGAAATAACATTAGGGATTTTAGTAATTTAGGGTTTTTATGCTTATTGTTACTTTTAATAATGTTTGAATTATGGTATTTTTACGTTTTAGGATTTGCTTAATAATTTGCCTATTTAAAGGCTTCTTTGTAATTTGAGAACTCAGTTTTGGAACATTATTGGATTATTGCTTTATCTGAGTTCTCTCTGTGTTCTTTTACTTCTCCCATTTATGTTCCTGCTTTTCTCATCCATTCCGTCTATCCTGCCTATCTATTCACTCTGCTCTCAGCCCCCTTTGTCTGTTTTTTCATCCCCTTCTTCTAGTTTATCTCTTCTTCTATTTTCTCATCCCTTTATTTCTATCTGGTTCCTACTTGTCCTTCATCACTTATCCAATACTTCTCAGATATTTTGATAACTTCTTACTTATAAAGAAAAAACATATTCAATATTTCTCAGATATTTGATAACGTATCAGATAATTTTCAGATACTTTACAATACATATTTAACAAGTTTTGCACATTAAACTGTAACTTTTCAAGAATAATATCATAGTATAAATTATAATTGTGAAGCAAAGTTCAAAACATCTTCAAAAAAGAAGTATGGTTGAGAATTTGAGATGTATATCATGACTAATTTAGTCCAAATTTTTATCCACGCAACATAACTCTCAACTCCTATCTTGTTGGTCATAGTATTTTATAAAGAATTGTTAATAACAATATATATTACATAATAAATTACTATTTAAATTTATCCATCGACACTTATATATATATATGTATTGATTTTTATACATATTTGCATCTATAATATATATGTCATGTCCTTGTCATATCTATATCCAATTTTTTAAGAAATTGTCATATTGTTGTGTTTGTATTGTGTCGTATCCGTATCCCATGTCCGTGCTTATAGGGGCCTTTCATAAACAGCAAAACTCAATACACGGGTCAAGCTGTAAATAGTGAGACAGTCAGGGAAAAAGTGAACCTGCCTAAAGGTTTACGAAGCACAAATGTTTCACTCCTTGCAAACCAAAATAAGACAGCCACAAGAAAACAAAAATATACTCTTGGTCTATGTTGTGGAACATGTGTTCAAAAGCATGAAACATGTACCAAATCTATCAGATACCAAAATTTCTTTTTATTTCTTTCCTTGGTTTTCTTTTATGAGACTAACATAATAAAAAGAGTACAACCATATAAGATTTAGGATTACTTAGTAAATTATAAGTTTTTCTGGACATTAGCCATAGTAGAGGTCTGCAAGTCAAAGTTTAAGTCAGGTTATGCTGTTGAGTCTTTATAAGCAGACTTTATACGAGGTTTTTCTGGTCAAACTGTTCAGTATCTGAATATGCAGTTCATGTCATGTTAAGAGTTAGATTACTTGAGAGTTTGTATATAGCTTTAAAATGCTTTAAATTCAATTGGGCTCAGCTCAGAGAAACTCAGGGACTGTGTGATGCAATTCTAACCCAAAGTATGATGCCTAGAAAATCTAGGTGTGATTTGCCTATCCTTCTACTCTACTTATTCTCTTAAATTTTCTGCACTTTAAAGCCATTAAGACCCTAATTTGTTAAATTTATTATTTGATGAGCATTTACCGTTTCCCCATTTCACCATTCAAACTTAAAACCCTAAAAACAGCCCCTAGTTACCGAATACAGTACAAAACCCCACTATAAAAAACAGAACTTTGCCTTTCCTTCTTAGAACACCAAGACAATAACCATTTCTCACATTATATACAGATGCTAAAAAACAAAAACCCAATAGCCTGAAGCGCAAGAGAATCAATTATAATCTGCCCTAAAGAAGCTTCTACAATGCTGTCCTTAGTGTCCTATATCAATTTTGGTAGAAGAGCTAGTACGAGTTTTATCCATGCTTGTCCCAAATTGGGTGCTCTACCAATCTGTTTCTACAATAACATTATTCGAGGCCCACCCTTCCATCATCTTCAACCCTTCAAAGGCCAATGGCTGTCTAAGCACATTTTCACGCACATCCCAGTATTAAAGGAAGTGTCCATACCACATTCCCCGTATTCAATTGTGATATGCTCCAAGCAATAAACCTTTCTTTCCAGAACCTTTCACGTCCCTCTGATCAACTGGCTTCAACGTATTCCATTGCCAACCTAATGACAATCTCTCTTGGCTTAAAAAACATCATCAAATTTTGCTCAAATATGGCTTCATTGATCCAATTGCTCATTTTCCAAGATTCCAAGGCAAAATAGTTGATCATTTGATGTCCCTCATTCCCCCTGTAGGTCCACAAGGGTGATCTGAGTGGTTCCCGACCAATTGAGTCTACCTTAATGGTTGCTTCAGATGTTACTGCTTAGTTTTTCTACCAAAGAGAATTAAGTATGTGCAATATAAGTAAAATCAGGCATGATCACATCAAACATAGAAATTTTCAAACCTGATACTCTGGGCCAGAACATATACCAAGGATTCGATGCCTCGTAGTTTGAGGTTTATCTGTAACAATTGAGAGCTTTTGTCCTATCATTTGGTTTGATAGTGTACTCTTTCCAACATTTGGCTTCCCAAGTACAGCCACATATCCTACATTTGCCACAAGAAATTAAAGGTTACTTAAGATATATAGAGAAGTTATAGCAAAACTCATCGACAACAAGATGGGAAAGAATGCTGCCCCATCTTAATTTTACTGCCTTGTTAAGTAGGGATCTCATTTCACTTCTTTTTTTCCCTCCTCTTTCTATTTTCCTGCAGTTATTTTTAGCCCTTGAATATAGCTTATGGTTTCAAAAATGAGCACACAACAGCTAAGCAATATTATGCAGAACGTAAGAAATACAAGCATCAGATCAAAACTTTTCTGCACTGAGGCAATTTAAAATACAAGTTTATAAAAACCAGTACCAGCAAAAATATAAGATATACAGATACCCCTTCCCACAAGAATATATTCCATTTTTCCAAGGCTATAAATGTCAAAAAAAATTAAGTTCTATTCTAATTTTGTGTGTATTCCTCTCCTAGATTCTTACAAAGATTAGTTTGAGAGAATCCACAGAGTAATGCCCTTCTTAAGTATGGCAACAATTTCCTTTTGACAAGGTAAGAATGCCAGCTTTAGTAATCCCAATGCAAAAAAATTATACAGATATGGAACATAAGAATCTCCTCCTTGTTCTTATTCTATGGGTAAATGAATTTAAGATTATTAATAGTAACACTATATTAAACTAGACAAGATCAAATCCTTTGATGGAAATTCAAATGGTGATTTATCGGAAATCTTTTTAATATTAGGTTGTTCATGGTAAGCAATTGCAAACAGATCTCTAGGGAAGTTTTCAAGGCTGCTAGATCAATTCATAAAGATGGCTGATCATGTTGGCTCTGGTATTGGTTTCAAGAGCCAATGAGCTGATGGTGTACCCCCTATCTCTCTGTGGAAAAAAACCTTGGGGATTTCCACAGTAAAGTTGTAAATGGCATCATGATCATTGTAGCTAAAAGGGAGGGAAGTGGGGGCTTTCTAAAGTCTTATAGGATAGTCGGGCAGAACAGCTAGGGCAGTTCTTGAAGAAAATAGCCTCTATGTAGTCACTAGTGAATATTGAGGAGTATAAAGAACATCTAGTCCTTATTAGGTGTGGGGAATTTGACAGCAAGTGTTCTGTCTCTTTCTTTTTGGTAGGAAAACACACACCCACTCTCAACCTTCAGTCAAGGAAGAGGTGAAACTACGTCAAGCTAGAGGCTCGTGCTAAGTTTTCTACCTCTATTGCTGGTTTGTGGGTCTTGGGAAAACTCATGTTACTGAAACCTTAATAGAGAAGGTTCTTTCAGATTTTCCCCCTCATAGATATAGCCAAAAGCACAGGTTAAGGTTTCCAATTAAAGTTCTACATCAAACATTAAAGGATTTAACTCTCATTATGCATGTTCTTTCTAACTCAGTAACCCAATCTTTTCATGATAAAACCTGTTCTAATTCATCATCCACGTAATGTGCATGATGTAACCATCAAATCATCTGAGTATTTCATTTATTTCACATTTCACCCTTCCACGTTGAGCCTATGTGTATTTCTTCCATCAATCCTGAAGGAATACTACCATCCATCGCACTATGGAAGTATGCCACTATTACTAAGAACATCCCCAATCACCCACAACCAAACAATGAGAAGTTTATGCCACAAGTTCTCTAATATATATATATATATATATATACACGCGCGCGTGAGATGTAAAACGAGGAGGAAAGAAAACAAACCACTGTGATGATTAGGGTCGGGGAGAAAGTCGAGTTCCTCCATCTCATAGTCGTCGAGCATGGCCGTGTTCCGGTCCGGCTTCTCGCTCAATGAGAGGAATGTTGAAAATGAGGAGTAGTCCTCCGACGACCTCGCCGTCCTATCTGCAGCTAGGCCCAAAGCATCCTCTTCTTCTGAGGATAGGTCGATTCCACCATTATCATCGTACGAAAGCTTTCTGTTGCAGTTCCTTTTCCGATCCTCATGAATGCTGGTACCGGTACTGGTACTGCCAAGAGAAGCCTGAAATTGAAACTGAGATTCCCGGGATGCATACTGATTTCTTGTGAATTGACGGAGAAGAAGAGACTTGTGGACGGTGATGTTGTTGAAATGAGAGTGAGGAGAGTGGATAAGAGAATTGCCGTCTCTCGGAAGTGTTCCGGATATGTACTGAAGAGCCAGCTCCATGGTTCCCACTTTTGGATTTTGGGGCGCCACTCTTAACTTTCTCACTATACGGATTTTATCTTCTTGGATTTTGATTTAAATTTGATTATTCAACTCGTGCCGCAAGCAGTTGTCCAAGTTCAATTTCTATATTTTTTTTTAACAAGTTCAAATTGAGTCCATTACAAGAATATTGAAAGATTTTTAATATTAAAGAGTTTAAAAGAATTTGTAAATTATAAAATACATTTTAAAAAGTAAATCATTTTATAGATTTACTCAAATACAATTAAATATTTCTCTTATAAAGTTATTTATTTTTTAATTTTTAATATTATATATGTGAGTGGAGCTAAGTATCATGATACCATTAATAATATTATGCCATCACCCTCTACTTAAATAATATTAATTCCTTAAATTAATTTTAGATACGTATCTCACATTTAGAATTATTTTGTACAAAAATGTTGATACGCCTTTTGAATCGGACTGTTTACTATTTTCCTTTGCAGTAAAACCAATACACCATGACTCGGATCAGTTTTTCTGCCATATGAAACAAATCCGAAAGCTGTAATAATTAGTTAGGAGAAAATTTAGTTGAGGGAGCTTAATTCACATGAATTACTGTTTGAATTAAAATGTCTTAATTAATTAGAGAATTGGACAGTAACTTGCTAGTTGGTCACATGCCAGAACTATACTGCGTTTTCTTGCAGGAAATCTTAGGCCTATTTGGTTTGTAATTCAAAAAACAGTTCTAAAAAATTCAGAAAATAATTTTCAGAAAACTGAATCAAGTATGAGTTTTCTGTTTTTAATTTTCTAAAACCCAAAAAACTGTTGTCAAAGTCAATCATCTGTCTAATTCAGCTATTTATATTTGTTACGTTAGCATTTGAATCTGTATGTATAGAATCACAGAACTCTCTTTTTTGTCAACTGCACCGCTTACTTGCAACCGCGTAAATATAGGTTGTTTCATTTATAAATATTTTTTGGAAGTTAGAAGTGTATAGTTACAAAACAAGCTATATACTCGGCCCAATGAACAGAGCCTGGTACGATTAAAGAGGGACCAAAACTAGATTAATGAGAAAGTGCAAGGCACATTTAGGTAAATTCAGGTGCAAATTTAGCACAGCATGCGCGAGGAATAATCTATTTTTTTTTTAGCAAATCAAACGAACTCTCTTAGTAGAATAAAATACATTCATGTGCGCGCGCGCGAAGGTGTAAGAGCCTAAAGGGCATGTAATTTATGTAATGGACTCAGGAACTCATACTCATTATAACCATTCACAGCGGTAAAACTGTAAATAGAGAGAAAAGAAAAAATTCTATGTGACCATTTTCTTAAAAATTACAAAGACCTTTGACATATGGGGACAAGACACCTTCCAACTACAATCTGTCAGAGACATTTCAAGTTTAATGTAACCCACCCCAAAACCCCAAGCCAAATATACCAAGTTATTGACATGTTTTCATGCAATAATTTAACACCAATGAAGCTCAAAAGGGTTGTCAATCTCATATATGATGGACCCTGATGTTTACACCTCAAAACGGGAAAATTTCTCACAAAAATATAGTTTCTATAAGAATTAGGGCCAATATCCATTGAAGGATGTGCTGCACTTTGGGGAGTCGGAATTTTGATCATTTGTATACTAATTCATTGATCATTTCAATTTCTTACACTATATACCATCCTCAATAAATCAAGAGCATCCTGGCCAACTTCTATGCATAACATCCGTGTTTGCAATATTTTCATGAACAAATACTTTGGGCTCTCTGAGCTGCAGTAAATGAATAGACAAATGTTTTGCAGTAAAGGAATAGACAAATGTTTTGCAGTAACTGTATTATGCAAATAACATTTTTGAGACAAAGCAAGACCACTTACCAGCAAAATGGGTGGAAAGCCATTGTGAAAACGAGCTCTGGAGAACTCGTTTATAGTAAATAAACACTTGAATCCATTCATTTTGGGGTACTCACTATCATACAAAGAAAAATATATATATTGGGAATCAATTCAAAAGAAGAAAGAAAAAAAAAATGAGATTAGAGATTCAAGATTTGCTGATACATTTCAGACTAGTATGTAAAAAAATAAAAGGAAAAGGTAATCGATCTCAAGTCAGTAAATTTTTATTAGTCTAGAATTGCAAATATGCGTTTGCAACAATAATCCATCTCTGTTATACTTTGGCACCTCCAATCCACTGAACAACCAATCGAGAGAAAGAGAGAGAGAGAGAACAAATGAAGGTCCATTACTAGTGTTGGTTCCGCCTATGTATGGAGCTGGAAGGGTTGCACCGGAAATAAACCTAACCTTAGACATTATTTTGCAGAAATTGTCCAGTTTTGAACTTGAACTCGTCTTTCAATACAACAATTAAAACTTTTTCCAATACACCAAGTATTGAACGACCCCTTACAAGATCATCCATATGTGACCCTTTTCTTACATGCACCTTATTCACTAACATAGCCCTGCTCTCCTTGTCATGTGCATTCAGCCTACTCTCCTCTCACTGTTTCCATTTGCACACTCTAGTGTGCTGACAGGGAGGGGGAATACCCATGTAGAAAAATGGAATCTTTGTAGTACAATTGAACATTTTTGCCCACACATACCTTCCTTTTTCATGTACAGGGATATTATTTGCTACACTCTAATTGCATCAGTGTACTACAGAGTTGGGACGACATCTTAAAAAATAAATACCTGAGATGGCCGTAGCTAAATTTTTTTCCATAAATCACACCTGTTTACGCATCATGTTCTGGCACACATTTTTAAGACAAAAAGATAAAATAGAATGATGACAAACTCACTTCAGAAGATAGGTGAAATTCCTTTGGCAAAATTCGTCTAGATGTATATCTTCTTCTTTAGAATACCTGCATTACAAAACAGTATAACCATGAACTGAAAAACAAGCACTGCAGATCATAAAAGAATTTGAAACTGTTGAATTCCTTCGTTATTAATGTGCTACATTCTGGCAGCTGTTGAATTGATGGTTGATGAAAAGACGGATCACAATAAGCTGTCACAGGGATGTAACCTGGCCCTCACAATGATTCCTTAAAGATGCGGCTGGTGAAGAGACTACACTTTTTTCTTTTTTGTTTTTAATTTTTAGAAAAGAAAAACATATGAGGAGAAAGAGAGGAGAAAAAAGACATAAGAAAAACATATGTAAGTTTTGGTCAGCCTCATTTCTTATCTGACATTGAAAAAAAATTACAATCGAAGCCTTTTAGTTCCCATCCAAAATTAGAGAATTTCTATTTTCCGTTAGTTAAGAGTGACAGTGATGAATATACCTTATCTGACCTTGAAAAAAAATGCATTTCAGTTGATTAGTAACAACGCACATTGACAGTCACCTGCTTTCCTACATCCTTACCGCCATAGGCAAAATAGTTGATTGCTATTAAAAAGCGTCAAATACTTGAAATGAGTAAAATAATGATGTACAGTGCTTGAGATTGATACAACAAATTCTATATTGACATTCCACAACAGTGATTACGTTCCTGCATAGAATATTGACTGGGTACTAACAAAAACTTTCCAGGTAAATAATACTAAACTGTTGCAATCGTAGGTTGGTGCTCAAACCTTATATCAGCATCTAAAATGTTTAGTATAGGTGAGTTCTACAAAGTTCCATAAAATGTAGTGTCCTTAAAAGTCTCACTTTATAGGTTGCTAAATCATCGTGTCAAATACCAATGCTCGTACCAACAGCAATGCAAGGTAGCTTTTGACCAGTTCTTAAGGAATGATTACTTTGAGTGAGTGATGACAGTTAAGTGTTCCGAAAGGAACATTATGACAACTGCTGCAACCTAAAGCATGCGAAGCAAACCCAATTTGAAGAATAAAGTGAAAGGAAGGAAGGAGGGGACAAAAATTCTCTTCAATTGAAAGAATTCTTACTTAATATGCCAAGAGAAGGGTGTTTTTTAAATATATCAACCATACACAGCTTGTCATAATTATATTGAGCCCCATTCCAATACTTTTACAGAATATATCAGTAGTTGGTTTCAAATTTTGTGCACGAGTAAAAATCATTTTACTCATGACATGCTCAATTATCTCATGGGATATAGTACTAAGAGCAGTGCACATAACAACCAATGGCATCTATTTTTTCACATGACTAGGAACTCCATTTTGTGAAGGAGATACCAAAACCATTTACCCTATAAAAGTAAAACCAACTTAATCAGCCATCAAATCTAAATAATATACGACTCTAAAAGTTACAAGTAACAGTCTTTCCTCAGAGCACACTTCAAAGATCAAAACACAACATACAACTCCCAAGTAAATCTAGGGACAAAGGGAATGCAAAAACAAGCCAACAACTCCACCTGCAGAGGAAATGTTACAACATAAACTGTAAAATCTATCAGTTTTTCTACTTATCAAAAAAAAAAAAAAAAAAAAATCTATCAGTTTTTCCAACAAATCGTGTATAACGTCCAAGATAAATAAATATATCACCATGACTATTTACGACTTGGTACTTACACCCAAGGGACGATCCACTATTTTGCTATAGATAAAACTGTCCTAAGAAACCAGTCACTGAAATAGATAAAGACTGTCATGGAATTTAAGAGATGATACAAATAAGTCGAATCAAGTATACCTCCATGGGAAATCATTTTCACAATCGAGAGAAATTCCATTCATCGCTGAGAAGGAGTCTATGTGGACCCACTGTTCATTTGAATTGTTTGTGGCATAGCCTGCCAGAACAATCATATCAATTTTCACTGAATAATGCAATTCAAATACACACACACAACCAGAATTGAATGCAAATGCAAACTAACAACTTAAACACAAAAATGATTTCTGTATCTGAATAGTTGGCTAATATTGAAAATGTAGATGATTCAAAAAACTATTCAAGATTGACAAATAGTTAGATGAATGTACACTGTCTCGGCTTCTTTTACCTACATACTGAATGGTAAAGCACGTCAATTGCTTTACAATATATTTGTTGTATAATAGTCTGTAAAATATTACTCCAAGACTCGCACCAACTTCCACAATACTTTCTATTTTTAGGTGACAAATATTATGGTTTGTTAGACGGCTCCGATTATCTTCTTTACGTATCAGAAAGAATAAACAATATAAATATATATATATATATATAGAGAGAGAGAGAGAGAGAGAGAAACAAGTTAGCAGGACCCTTTCTTTTGAGTAGTTCACCTCTGGATATATTAAACCTTTCAACTTGTCTCACTAAGTATGTTTTAAGGTTCATTTAGTTATCTTATTAAAGCTTTACTTGGAGACAATGTTATACAGATTTTACATATAAAGCTCCTTATAACCACATGATTTTAAAATACCAATAACCTTTCAATTGTTTTTGCTTGCTCAAACCTAGCAACACACATATAAAGTTGTATTTGGTTTCAATCAGAGTAGTCAGCTTTGCAAACCTTAGAAGTAGCACTAGTGGGAGAATACCATTACCTTTTTATCTTAACCTTTTTTTTTTCCCCCTAGTTGGTACTCACACACCCCCCCTCCAAGGAATTGTTTGCAGCTAACACGAATCGATCCTGAGACCTGATGTTTCATGAGGCACCAGGGCCCAAGTCTTTTCCAACTAGGCCAACCCCTTGGTTTATTTATTTTTATCTTAATCTTTCCTCTCTCCATCTATTGCAATTCATTATTTGTAAATTATTTTTCATCTACTACTAATTCCTTAATTGCACATTTGTACATCATTCAAGCTATGATAACAAAGGAGATCGTGCAATAGAAGGATCTTCTTCTAAGTATGTATCATGCCTTCAAATGTAATTCCATGGTCGAATGCATAGTTATTAAAGGTGCACTTAAGCAAGCAGGTCTTCGGAAAGGACAAAAAACACACATCAGCATTTAATACACAGAGAATGTCTACTTCGTGGCAATGAACACAATGGCTTATAAGATGCTTGTGTGTGTGTGTGAGAGAGAGAGAGAGAGCTCACCCATCCGATGCAAATCTTTTAGTGCATAACCACTAGGATAGTTCTCATATGATGCCATAAACATTATAACGGTGCACACTAGACTACAAAATGAACAATAAGCATCGATAGATGAAGTAATTCAAATTTCTAATGACGGAATGTGCATACTCATCCAACCTGACAATGAGCATTCCCAGCAGAGCAATATAAAGCGAGTTCCAGAATCTCTTTTTCCTATTTTGTAACTGTGAAAAGTTGAAATCAGAAATTAATAAAAGTTTTCTACAAGTCAAAATAGAGAAACTGCAAAATCCAATACCAGATTTCTTGAAAAATGAAAGGACATAATATTTGGGATAATTGAACATCAAGAAGCTACAATTACATTGAAAATTACAATACATATTTAACTTTCTAAATTTTCATCCAAGCAAGCCAGCAAAAGCGTTACATAAACACTTCTAGATGAAAGCCATATCCATTCAAAAAGTATCAAATCCAGATACAAAAAAATTTGGTGAAATCTCCTGGATTCTTCATTACAAGATTTGTTATAGATTCTAATAATACAAGATGGTTTTAAGACCATACTCAATGATAAAGAAAGCTGGAAGTCAACATAATATCCATAACTCAGCAAAACCAATAGACAAATACTGAAACTGTGTACCAAGACAAGGATAGAACTAAAAAGGGAAAAAGGAAAAAATTTGTGAAAAGTTAAATGTGGCACCAATCTGGAACAAGAAGAGAGAAACTTGACTGAGATGGATGGTCCTTCAAGCTATCAGGACCTGAGGCCAACCCCAACCCCACCTCACCCATCAGCATCTGATTACTGTTTAAGGGCAGCTCGGATGATAGTCATGTGGAAGATAGATGACAAGACTAATTAGGAGTGATTAATTCAAGGCTTCAAGCCAAAGGTGCTAAGACCGACAATGAGGTCTTTGTGAAGTTGAGTAATAAATGTTTTACATGAGCACTTCACCACTAGGTGACATATCCATGTTAGAAATGACATGCAATGAATACGGATTTGTGTGTTAAACTGTTGAATCAATACATCAGCATCATGTGTGTCTAATAGAAGATTAAATATTCCTAAATAACTTAAGGTTCCCTCCTACCATAAGTATGAACGAATCTTGGAATTGAAATTGTTAAAACGGACATATCTTCACTCATTATCCCTTCACCAGAGTCTTCTACATTTGCTCAAACTCAGTAAAGCTAGCCTTCCACACCTCTTTCTGTTGGCTTTTCCATTCACTTCCTTTCATTTGTCGGCAAATAATCGACATTATAATTCTTAATTTGCTCCCACCATTTTCCTCATCTAAACTCGCTCTAATAAATCTGCTATAAAATGGCATCCAGTCATCCTTCCGGCTTTCCCAACTCAAATTGGACAGCCAAGCAGAATAAATTGTTTGAGAACGCTCTTGCAATATATGATAAGGATACCCCTGACCGGTGGCACAACATAGCCAAGGCCGTTGGTGGAAAAAGTGTGGAGGAAGTAACGATGCAATATGAGATGCTTCTAAGCGACATCAAATGCATTGAGTCAGGCAAAGTCCCCCTTCCTAATTACAAGAGCAATGTGCGTAACAAGTAAGAGACAGTATCAGTAATGAAGAGCAGAGTTAACCTGCTAATGCCTCCTTTAAGTTTTAACTGGTAGGAAAGTTTTGGCAATTAACCAAAATGGATAATAGTCTATATCTTGTGTGAGGCTCATACTCATGTACCCCCATACCCTGCATGTGTGATTAATCTATGGTATTCTTTTGCGAGTGGAACATTTTTTATGATAGTTCTGATGAGGGCTGATCGATATATAGCAGTAGAATGAACCACTTTTCAGAAGATTAAAAATTTCATGTTTGCAGAATTTAATTGTTCCATTAATATTGTAACAGTTCAAGCTGAAATGTGTGTGAAGCTCCTCTAAAGATCATAAATGATCCCTAGCAGAAAAGATCCGTACATTTTTCCTCTTAAGAAAAGATTTGGCATATTAAAAATTGAAAGCACCTTTTGTCTGAGATAATGTATGTTGAGTGAGATTCTTAAGATGACTCTCATACTAGGAAATTCTGAGTTCTATAGGTGGAGCATTCCATAAGTCAATTTAATCAGAAATCGGATTAGCTAGCTACTAGCTAGCTACGTTATATAAAATCCAATCAAGGATGTCACTAACATTCTCTAACAATCCAATTATGGGATCCTAAAGTTGCATTGAAATGTGGATTTAATTTGGATTAATGTGCCAAATTCATATCCACGCACAATTGATTCAAATTAAATAAAAACAAAGGTGTGATTTTTTTTGTTGTTGATAAGTTAGTTTGTGAGATATATAACTTCCAACATAGTTAACGTATTAAACACTTTAAACCATGGCAATACAGTGAACCACTTTCTATTCCATACATATGCAACCCAGAAAAAAGAAACGATCCAAAAGCCCATTTGAAGAGAGCAAATTAAACAATGAATCCAATCCATAATCTCGTAACCATATTGACCAAAACTATACTAATTCTTTTACATTGAAGTCAGTAATTCACAATTATGAATGTACAGAGCACCCTGTTCTTGTGTTTAATTACAAATACTGAAATCCATATATGCTACCACTAACTACTAAGATACCTCAGACTTGTTGATTGACGACTTGAAGCGACACAATGGCAGCCACTCTGCGATGCACTGGACATGGTAGATACGAGAGCATGCCATCCGAATGACTCGAGACCCAACGAGGATTTCATCCTTACATATAACACAGTGTACTTCCTCCTCCTCCTCACCATGATCATCAGTATCACCTTCAAATCTCACAGGCTCTACTGTCTCCTGAAAGTATTCCCTCATAGCTAGTTCCAACAATGACAATTCCAAATCTTGATCATGAGCTGTTTCCCTCACTATTCTTCCTATTTCCCCGTGGATCAAACCAAAGTCCGAAAATGATTTGGACAGTATCATCTGATTAACCTTCTGATGAAGTTGAAACCAACGTTCTACCTGCTCCTTTGCAAGGTTTATTGCTTCAAATTCAGCATGGGGTAAAATCAGTCTATTAACAATGTATATGTCCAATCTGAATAGCTTCTGACCGGAGTTGCAAAATCTATTGACCGTGCAACTAGCCACGTCCAAAACATGCAGGATTAGGTCGTTGGTGTTCTCCAACTCAGTTGGCTCACAGAGCATCTTCTCTAAAGGGAAGGGGATTTTCATGCCATGGATCATTGTGTAGAGCAAATCATAGGTGAAGTACTTGTATGGACGTCGTGATGAGATCTCTCCGATACCGTGTCGGGTGATGAGGCCTCTGGTTCTGCTTTGATAAGTCTGCTCCACACGGAAGTTGAATTCGACGTTGATGCAAGGCAGATACTTACCATCATCACCTCCGTTATTACCATAGCCGTTAACCCATACATAGAGCTTTTTTGTGGTGGCGGCCATAGCAGAGAAGAGGGCCGGAGATGGAGGAGAGAGATCAGGCGCAGATGGGGGAGAAAGATGATGCTCTATGGGCAGGAGTGCCCCTTGGATGCGAAGTATGGACCACAGTCAGATTTGAATTCTATTGGCGATTCGCCGTACAAAGAAGGCCTTTCCTGCTTGGGGTTGATGAGTGATCACTAAGAGGTAAGAATGAGTACAGCCAACTATACCTTCTCTTTTAGGGTTGGTTTTTTGGAACTGGATCAGGCCAGTGCTCAATGAATGAATAAGTAAATGATTCGTCCCTTCCATTTGATGCGATGGATTCGACTTTCTATTTGTGACAAAGAAGTCATGCTCAGCAAGCGAATAAAAAGGAGTCAGGCGCAGATGGAGGAGAGAGGGTTAGGGAATTGAAGGCGGTTACTACTAATTTCGCAGAGAGGAGACAGATTAGGCGCAGATGGAGAAGCGAGAGAGAGGGAATTGAAGGCGGTTACTACTAATTTGGCAGAGAGGAGACAGATTAAGCGCAGATGGATAAGAGAGAGGGAATCGAAGGCGGTTAGTCTATAATTTTAGGAAAGTAAAGTAAAAAGTTACTTTAATGGTATCTTGGTTTGGAAGTAAAAAAGCATAGGATAAAATAGGAAATCTCTTAATCCACTAATAATTTATTTATTTATTAATTCCTCTAATATAGTTATTCTTTATTAATTTTTAATATTATACATATAAGTGGAGCTGATTACTATGATACCATTAATATTATGACATTACTCTCTACTTAAATAAAATTAATTCAATTTTTACAGTTCCATATCCTTAATCTTTCATAATACTATCATTATAATCATTACTTGACATTAGAATTTGGAAAAATAAATCTAAATAAAAAAATTAATAAATTAATTGGAGTATCTCATATGCATGCTTATGAAATGTCAAATTAGTAACGTGTGCGTACTAATTCTTGTGGGAGTAAGATTCTAACTTAGGACATATCACTTGATGTAAAATTTTTGGGCAAATTGTAAAATAAAAATCCTCCATTATTAGATAGTTGCGAAAAATTCTCTTATCAATATTTTTAGTAAAAAAACTCACCTCTATTATTTTAAGAGGTGGTTTTAACTGATGTCCATTTAAGTAATTATTTGAGAGAATTTTTTTTAAAAAATTATCCCTTAATAGATTTTTTTTCTCTTTTCTCTCTCTCTCTCTCTCCATTAAGCAAGGTATGTCAAGCAACAAAGAAAAAAAAAAAAAAAAAAAAAAAAAAAAGTCAATAAAATTATATTTTAGCTATATAATTAATAAAATAAAATTGAGTACAACCACACAGGACAGAAAAAATCCACCATGGTGTTGGAATAGAAAATGGAAAAATTAAACAACTCAAAAACACTTGATTTTACCAGCCATTATAATAATTTACCATGTTTTCTTAGTGTCCTATTTTTTATCTTTTCCTCAGTGGACTAAAATTGGCAATTAAAAAGTAACATAATTTCTTTTTCAAATCTGAATTTTTTTTTTCTTACTTTGAGAACACGAAAATACCCCAAAGTTAAACATTTCAAAATAGAAATAAAAATGGATTTTTTATTTTTTTTTACTTACTTCATGAACACAAAAATTCCCCAAAGTATCTTTTTTAGACGAAATTGTTGTAGTTGACTTATTCAAGTTAAAAATCTAAAAATATAACGGCTTTTAATGTGAAAGGACATCGCTGCCCTCTATTTAATTCACAAGAATCTAATTATAATGGACATTTAAGTCATTTAGTTTGAGAGAAATGCATTTATCATCTCATCAAATATTGTTTTGATTCCACCACCTATTATTCGGAAATTGTTTTGATTCCACCACCACAAGAAAATTACATACCATGTAGAGGAAGTATATGGTAAGAAACCAAAGAAAACATAACAGTTTTTACATGCAAATGATTTGTTCAATTACATGGATGAAATCATGACATAAAAAAGTAAAATAAAACCAATAATAAAAGTAAATAAATAAAAGGTAAATCATTTTATAGAATTACTCAAACACAATTAAATATTCCATTCTTGGATTGACCAAGTGTTGGTGTTACGAAAGAATAGGCTTTCAATTTCAAAAAATTTTAACAGATTTCAAACAATATTTCCAACATATAAATTAGCTATTACATGCATAACATAACATAAATGTAGCCGCTAGGCCCGCTACACGATGGTAGATAATGACAAAATAATTGTAGCGGCTACAAAATAATATAATGAGTTGTTCTGACTTTTGAGTTTTTTCTTTTTTTCTTTTTTTTCTTTCAATTTTTACTTAAAATTTTGAATAAAAGAAAGATAAAAAAAAAAAATTCATAATTTGAAATCTCTCTAAATTACTAACATTATATTCTACTATATTTGAGGGCTTAGTTACAGCATCATCCAATTGAATAAAACTTTTAAAAAAATAATGTCTACTAACTCTTCTCTAAACTTTTTCTTTCATTCTGGTCTTGGAAATATATATATGTATATAGTTTGTGGATAAAGTCTTGTGTCTACTAAGTCTTGTGTTTTATGATTTTGGGGATTTAAGTGTATAGAGTTATATTGATAAGGAAACCATTTATTTCAGGCGTGAGAGAACATGAATACATCCAGAGGGAGAAAATGAATGAGAGATTTGAGGCATCAGAATTAGAATGAGTTGGTAACACGGTTAGCAAACGTATGTGTTTCTTGTGCCCCTAGGCTCAAATGATTATTGACACCTTTAAATTTTGATTGAACACACCACACCACTTCTAAAAAAATTGGCATCAACTCATATTAGGATTGGATTAACTGCCCAAATTGCATTTTAATAATATAAATTATTTTTACTCTGGTTTGAAAATTCTCATTATAAGTTGGGGATCAATTGAGCAGCAAATTCTCAGCCGCAAAATAGAGATTTATGGAAGTAAATTTGAACTCCAAGGAACAATTAAAAGCCAATAGGTGCTTATTACCAATCAATAATTTTTTCATTATTTTCAAACGTTTTTTAACTTATTTTAGACTATGCTCTTCTCCGCCTTTATTCTTCCTAGCTATATAAACCCACAAGAGGACATGTATCAGCAACAAGACCAAACAGTACTCCATAAATGCCTGATTGATCGGAGAGGTGAAGAATCAGAAGCATCAGAAACTACTTAGTTCAGTAACTACTTGAAGAAACATCCAGCAGATTTGAATGTTTCCAAGTAATTTACCTATTCCCCAATCATCTGATTGCATAGAGGCTCTACGGCACAGAAACCATGCAACAAGAAGAAAAAGAATAGCTCGACATTGGTGGTATTCACAAGATGGCATGTCTGACCTCTTGTTGACTTGCTTATGCAGTATTACATTCAGCTAGCAATTCGATTGGAAGGTCATCACTCGGTTGCATGGTCGTGGTAAGAAGATGATCCATTTACAGTTGATTGGTAAGAAGACCATGCTAAGGTAGCCGTGCCAAGTGTAATAGCAGCAGAAACAGAACCCCACACCCACCTCTGCCTTTTCTTCCTTTGTTGCCTCAGATGCCGTGTCATCTCTATACAAAGTAAATAGCAGGAAAACATCAGAACTATTTATAGTAAACACAGAAAAGATGCACGCCACAGCCACACACACATCACTTCAACTCGACTCAAACTCAACCCAACTTTACATTAATTTGGTCAGCTTAGGTCCGATCTATTTATGTATAACTATATATATATATATATATATGATACTATAAATTTATGCAATTCACTCAACTCTAGGATCATCTATGGTAAGATAATCTCTCTCTCGGATTTCTCACAACAAAAAAAAAAGCAAAAATAAGAAAGATGATGACTTCTCCACAAACCCTACTATTCCTCAATGGCTCAACCTATCTCTCAACCTTATCCATCGTCTCACCTATAATTGTTCCAATCACAGAGACTCATTTTCTTCCAATTCCATTGCCACAATCCATTCTCCAGAATCCTCGAAGCAAAACCTAGTGCTGATTCTGCAGACACATGCACACAAATCAATTTTAAACTCTTATCGTCAATTTTCACCAATCCTTGAATTTCAATTATGTTCCATTGTGACCAAAGGTTATAGCGGAAATAGTTTTCGGACATACGAAAATATCTAAACTCCGATCCTTATGCATTGAGATTGCCCTTTAAGAGGAAAGAATGGAAGAGAAAAGAAACAAAACTAGCATTGGGGGTCCATGAAAACTGGCACCTCAAAAGTGGGGTAATTTAGATACAAGTACAACAATAAAAACCAAATATAAGTGGGGCTATGAATGAGGATCATATCTTCTGACCAAATCAATAAAGTTCTTAAGCTTTCTTGTCTCTTCTCTCTTCCGGAACAAGTTTAGTACATTGCATCCCCCAATAAACAAACTTGGACAAGATTGCGATCACCTCTTTTTCCCCTATTTTATTATCTTCTCTTCACTTAACAAACTTGGACTAGTTTGTTTTACTGTAATCTATCTTCCTGCAATTTTTTTTTTTTTTTTTTTTTTTTTTTTTTTTTTTTTTTTTTTTTTTATGTTCAGCAAAAGTCTAGGTGAATTCCATCAGGTAAGTTGTATAAAATAATTTATCAAAAATTAATGGCTAAGTTATTTTTGTTAGGTTTTAATATTTTTTTTTCTTTGTACATATTTTACGACAACCAAACATCAAAATATATATATACATATATATATATATTTTTAAAAATATTTTACTTCAAAACAGAAGAGCCTAAAGAACATGCTATTGAAGTCAACAAACCATCTTAATTTTTTCTTCAAGAAATCTACATGCTCCAAATAAATAAAAAATAGAAGTAACATAAATGATGCTCGTATTGCAAGCAGGGTTGGTTCCATAAACTTGACTACGTTTTAACAAAAGAATAAATTAGTCCATGAAGTACAAGCCGGGGAAGCAGTTGTAGGATAACAAAGACTGATGCGAGTCCATGGCTCCATCTCCATGCAAGCATAACTATCAGAGATTAGCCACCTAAGCCAGTAATTTTTTTTTCCCCGACAAATTAGGGGAGGGACTCGAACACGGGCACACCCAATCAGAGAACTAAGTGCCCTACCAACTAAGGGGGTAATGACCTCACTTTGGATAATCGAAGACCAAAAAATTTTGCCAAATAAAAAAGTGACGTGATCCACGTTGACGTAATGCCAAGGGAAAGGGAAAGAAGATACCTAAAACTAACACCAAAATAGTAAAGAAAATACAATACTGTGCGGTACCCAACACCGTGGCCTAAGAGCGATTCACAATGAATATTACAGTACCTGACTCCAGCTATTGAGAAGATCGATGACAAGCTTCTGCAATTTCCAACTTGATCACACTACCAAATAAGAAACATCATCACATAATCACTTAATGCACACTAAATCATGAGTTTCCAATTACACGATCATCTTCACTGCAATTTGTATCGAGTGCAATGGAAACACAGCATTATAATGCTCGAATTGGC